TACACAAGTACCTACTCCGCCTAGGCAGGACACGCTGTGCCCCGGCGCACTCACCTACAATTATGCTGGAGCTGACGTCCGTCTCCTGTGGTGGAGGCTGCCGCCCGTTCTCTAATATTCCAATGAAGACTCCTTGCAAAGCAACCCGCTGCAGGTCATGGGGGACTTTAAATTGATCTTCCGCGGGATGCAATGCATCAAAATCGTGTGTGCTATGTATAGGTATGCTCGATGCAGCTGGGTTAAGTATGCCTATATTATAAAGTCTTTATCCTGGCACGGCATTTACTATTGCGTCGTTTGCTTTGGAACTGTACTGCAATGCAGTATTTCAAGTTTGATGGCTTTCTGTCGTAGCTGGTGTTTCGAAATACGACGGATGGCTGTTGGCTTTATTGTATCTGGGTATACAGTTGCGGTCTGGCTAACGATATTTCAATGACTCGTTGACTCTTTTCTTATCTAGGCCAAAGTGACCTGCCACTATGACTGCTCAGCGACGCAAACTCACACATATAAGTGGAAATATCGTCAACAGTTTAGCTCAATGTAGCCAGCTTCCAATAACCCAATACCCCCAGCATCAACAATTTACATGTGAAAACAAAGAGAAAAGATAGAACTAGCCTAGGCCTGTCTCGCCCTCATTCGCGCTGTAGTGGATAGCAGAATCCTGAATCCTGTGGTCCACGAGTCGCGGGGAACTGGGGTCGTACTTCCATGCATTGCGAAGCCCTGTAGTCAACACCTGGATTCCCTGCACGAAGCTGAAAGCTCTACCATGCTCATTCAAGAAGGAGATGGGAAAAAGAAAACAAGCTGTTATTTTTCATCCATGCCCTAGAAGAGCTTGAAAATAATGACATCTTTTCAGTGACGGGTAGGTCTTTGTAGAGCTAGGAATATATGTCACCGAGATGAGACTTGGTACGCGGCCTTGACCGTGAAATTCCGATTCGGGCGTCCTGGCGAAGAATGCTCTAATAATGTCTAAGGTATGGTAAATATCGAGCTAATGTTCAGTTCACAATTCCAGTCCGTCCCATAGGCCGACACTTTGTTGCTCGAGGTAGTTTCCCGGGGTCCCAATGATCGATACAGCAGAGCCTAACACCTTTGGGATAATGAGCTTGTTATGAATTTGTATAACATGTACTAATATGTCACTGCAGGTATGAATAGCGTAGATAGTTACTCCTTTCTGCTGATGTCGGCATCTGCTTGTCGCACAGAATACCTCGTAGAGTGGGGGTTCTCTATATTGCACATGTAGAGACGATCTGATCTTCACCCTGCGACGATTTCTTCGGGAAACAAGAAAACAAATCGGAGAATCCCGACCAATATCATTAAGGAGGTTGAAAATACAGAATGAGAAGAAGGAAGAGGCCAACGCATCGTCCATTTGATAGAACATCATGACCTAAACTCGCATGCACGGCTTCAGGTGCTATCTAAAAAAGTATATATCGATTGCCTAATGCCGATTTTAAACAAGATTCCACGCTCGTATCGGGGTAGCAAGGCAGTGTAGTTCCTCATGATGGGACATGTCACCAGCAACCTGTTCCGTTCGTCCATTAGTAGGTTGTTTAGAAGGCCTTATTGGGAAGGAAATATGACAGAAAAACAGCCACCCCCACGCATGCGCCCCGAGGTGAAGGGAAGACAGACTCCGAAAAGCCAAAATTGTCATTTGATGGTGCGGTGGAGTGTGTGTGTCTTCGTTTGGGTGCGCTGTTGTTCCTCGGCATATCGGGTGACCCTCGTGAACACAGATTATTCCACACAACCCCAAATGGAGGCACGGATCTCCCACGAAAATGAAACTGTGTGGTGGTGTGGGAATGTTGGGTAGGATGGTTTAGATTGTTTTTTACATTCTGTACTGGTATGTATTTCGCGCTTGCTGTGCTTTCGGTAGGGACTTCCGGTTGATATCGTCTGGTTCCAAGGCAGAAGGGATGAGACCGAATTGGGAACTATAGGTTTGTGGGATTATGGGTAAGACAAGTATGTCGTACCAATAGGTGTCTGGCTGGTTCACCTGTGTATGCGCATGGCGCTCATATGGCCGTTGGGAATTAGCTGCCTTTTTGGACTATCGTATGTCCCAAGTTATACATAGAAAAGTCGTTTTCACAAATCACTAAAAAGAATATCTGAAAAGACCACTGAAAAGACAGCACAAGGCCGCATCGGCCAACTCTTCTTGTCTATCTACATCTATAAATGCCAGTTGTAGATCCAGTCTCGTGTAAAAGAGCGAGACCAGAGGCAGAACTCAGATAGAGACATTATCAATCCTTTCGTTTTTATTGAAACTAAAAGGGTTCTATGTAATTGACCATGTTTTTACATAGCAAGCAGAATCATCAGTTTTTTTCTTTTACCATCGTGGAATAGGACTAGAATGGGGTAATCTAGAACTCGGACTGATCATCACCGGAGATAATGACATTGTTGATCTGATTGAGGGTTAGCATCGAGCGCGATAGAAAGAGTTAATGGGAGCAGTACCTTAAGAACCATACGGCACAGCTGGGTAGCAAGCAAAAGTTGCTGGCGCTTGCCAATAAGGGGGTCAATAGCGAAGTGCTCACGCATATCTACATAGCCCAAGTTAGCCTATGAACAAAACCGTGCATGGAATGATTTTCTAGGGGCGTACCGTTGGTTCCAGTCATCATGCAGTCAACACCGAGACGGGTGTTCTTCTCCTTGACCTGGCGAGACTTGATGGAGGCGAGGGTCTCAATGGGGCTCAAACCAGAGTTCTCAGAAAGAGCCAAGGGGACGGCATCCAGCGCATCAGCGAAGGCGCGCATGGCATATTGCTCAATGCCGGGGCTCTTGACAGCGGCGTCCTCAACGGCGATGGAGCAAGCAATCTCAGCAGCACCACCACCGTAAACCACACGGTTGTCGCGCACCAAATTGCGGACGACACACAGAGCATCGTGTAGTGACCGCTTGGCCTCATCAATGATCTGTAGCTGAAGTTAGTTACCCGCACATCTCAGTACATATGGTGCAGGTATTCACTCACCATCTTGTTACTTCCACGAACGAAAATCGTCACTGCCCGGGTGTTGGCACACTCCTCAATCACCAGCATCTTCTCTCTCGTAGTTCCGAAGCTCATCTCACGGACAACACCAGCCGAGCCGAGCTTGTCAGAGGTCAGATCCTCGAAGCGGGGCACAATACGGCCGTTTGTGGCAATGGCGATCAACTCAATCTCAGGTCCACCAACCCAACGAACGGCAGGCAAGTCATTCTGGAGCAAAAGGTGGTTGGCCTCATCATCGAAACCCCACTGGCAGATGACCAGGTTGGCACCCGAATCCTTCAGCTGCTGAATCATCTCTGTGAACTTCTCCTTCTCGTAGTCCTGCAGCTTCTTGAATTCCTCAACAGATGTGATATCGAGCTTGTGCTTGGTCTTGGGCTTGGGAGGCTCAAAGGGACAGGTCAAGATAGCCAATTTGGCATCCCGAACTTCGTCGGGCATCTGAGGGTGAGAGAAGTCCTTGTCCACAATAACACCGTGGACAAGCAGAGAATCCTCGAGGGATCCACCGACCTTGCCGTCAACCTTGATCAACTCGAAGTCGACATCCTTGCGCTCAAAGTCGGCAACCGAGAGCACGGCATCAACGGCGATCTTGGCGAATTGGTCGTGGGACTTGGAGACACTACGAAAACTGTCAGCATCAACCAGAACTAATTTACAGCCAGGGATCCGTACATCTTGCTGCCCAGACTGGTCTTGGCCACTTTGAGGAGGTTGGTGGTATCATCGCTGCTAAAGGTAATTTCGTCACTGATCCTGTCGAGCTCGGCAACGGCGATTTCGCAGGCCTGGTCGTATCCGTCGGCTATCCGGATGGGGTGGATTCCTTTGTCAATGAGGTCCGAAGCTTGTTCAAGCATGGCCGCTGCCAGCACCACGACACCGGTTGTGCCATCACCGATCTCCTCGTCCTGGGACTGCGAAAGTTCGACCAGCAGCTTCGCGACGTTGTTTGTGATCTCCATCTAACCATAGCCATCGTATCAGTCTCTCGAGCCATAATTGGATCTCTCCGGGGGGAAAGGATTTCGGGATCGAACCTGTCCGAGAATAGTTGCGCCATCATTGGTGACGGTGATATCGCCGTCGGCAGAAATCAGAATCTTATCAAGACCACGGGGTCCCTAAAAACGAGAGTCAAATGTGTTCTCATAGATCGCTTTCCGAGTGCCATACCAGAGAAGACTTCACAATGCTGGCCACCGTCTTGGCAGCAACAATGTGTGACTTAACGGCCTCAGTGCCATGCTGTCTCTTCTTCTTTCCCTGACTGTTTTATGAAAAATCCCCGTCAGCCCAATATCTCAACCCTCCTACTCTCAATGATATTTTGAAACGGAGGATAGGGCGTAGCGGTGAACGTACTCCCGAACGACAATAAACGGCCGTCCCTGCTCGTCCTTCAAGACCTGAGCTATCCCTTAATGTCAGCGACCGGATCCGGGTTGTACCAAGTTATTCGAGAAGTAATCACCATTAGACATATCAAGCTCTGTTGAAGATTAAAATCCACATAGTTAGCGACAGCACATTTCAAGAATGAGGGGTATGGGGGTGCGGCCTTACGCATTGCCATGTTGACGGTGGGCTGCCACCTGGCAAAATATAAAGATTTTTAAAAAGAGGGCACAAGGAGACCAAGAGATAATCAGGAGTAAGTGACGAGACAAAGCAGTGAACTTGCAAGTTGAGCCTTGAGGGGGAGCTTCCCGAAATGCACTTTTGACAAATGAAATTCTGACTGCCCAAAGCGGTATAGCGTATCTTGTCCGCCTTCAACGCGTTTCTGCTTGTCGACACCTCCAATTGCTTTGGATGCGACAATCTTTCGTCTGACTCTACCATTGCAATTGACGGTTTAACACCCCTAGTCGCCAATCTGTTTTCTAAACTCTCCAAGTTCGTCTCACCCTTCAAACGAAACATGCCTCGTGAGTGTTTCCCCCCAATGTTGATTTGTCGCGCGCGCAATGGTGAGCATCTTTGTTGACCTATTCATTCCCTAGCTCCCATTGAAGATATATCCGACGAGGAATCTGGCGATATTCCTTTCAGTGGTGCGCCAAAGACGAATGGCAAAGATACCCAGGACCCCCGGAAGACGAAGAAGACGAAGACGAAGAAGACGAAGATGAAGATGAAGATGAGGAAGAGGGGCTGTGAGTTGCGCATTCCCGATTGATGGATACGTGTTTCTAATTGAGTGCAGCTACGTCGTCGAGGATATTATTGAACACGCCTGGCTTGATGATGTATGCTCGCAACACTCAGCCTCATTGTGCTGAGAAGCTAATAAAGTACAGGGAACCCTTAAGCTCTGGGTGAAATGGAAGGGTTATGACAAAATTGAAGATCGCACATGGGAAGAGGAGGATGGTCTCATGTACGTTTATGCGCTCATTGAGCTTCGGCATGTGCTATGCGCATTTATTGACAAAAAGAAACATAGGGATGGAGCCAGCGATATTGTCACAGCATACTACAAGAGGATCGGTGGTCGTCCGAAGAAGCCCGAAGATAAGCCCAAGGCGGCAAAGCCAGGTCGCAAGCGCAAATCTCTGGGTGATTCGAAGCTAGCTACGCCCGCACCGGCCCCCTCAACGAGCGAAGCCAAGAGACAGCGCCGAAAGTCAGCGCCCAAAGAGACGACCAAGCAAGCTTCCCCCGAGTCCGAAGAAAATGGCATTCAATGGCTTCCAAAGGGGAAGAACTGGGATAAGGATGTGAAAACGGTGGACACGATTGTCCGGGAGGGCGACGCGGGTCTCATGGCCTGGCTCGAGTTCAACAACGGACACAGAGCGAAACTGTCTATCCAGGTCTGCTATGAAAGATGTCCTTTGAAAGTATGTCCTCCTCCGCCGTGTTAGAAACAGCGACAAGTATACTAACTGCCAAACTAGATGCTCAAATTTTACGAATCGCATCTGTGAGTCAAGCTCTCTCCTCCTAATGAAAGCTTGAAATGCATTTCTAACATCTCTCATAGTGTCTTCAAGGATAATTAAATCCATCCGTTCACCCACAGGCTGATATATCACCAATTCGAAAATGATCCATAAGTGTGATAATTCGGCCATTTCCTCAATCTCGGAACTGTAATAACGAGTGGCCATCGCCACAATCCCCATGACTGCTGCAACCAACGCGTTTTGAATATGGCACTGCTGCCCTTCCATTGATGTTTAGTTTGGAGTTCCAATATCCTCCTGGCGTTCTGGGCGGGTCAATACTGGTGTCTTGGGAGAGTATTTCATTTCTAGCTATACGCTAATGTTCATGTACTTCACAATTGCAACTCATCCATGTAGTTATCCTTCGTGCGCTTTCTTGAATTCCACATCCCATGGGTATCATTCAATGAGCCCTGTCTGCCGGGCCATGCTGAAATATTCCCATCTATCCTTATACGCTTCCGCGCCGTGTTTCGTTAACGCTCGCTGTACACGAGAATATTCTTCTGCCTGCAAACAGTCATCATCCTCGGCTGTCCAGACACCGGGCATATCATCGGGAATTCCCTTCCCAGCGCCAAGACATTTGAGAACCTGATCTGCCATATCGGGAACCATGCTTGTACATCGCAGAGCTTCGAACACGTGCGATTCTTTGGCACCTCGAGCCAAGCGTTGATCAATCCAAGTATCGACGTCGGGCGCATCTGAGGTATCAGTGTCATCGTCGGCCACCTCGGATGCTGGGCTTGATGGTAAGAATGGGAGTTCTAGAAAAATGGGGTCCACTGGGTCTTCGAAGATATCTTTGACTGGTGGTCTGAGATTCGGTGCTTGTTCCTTGAATCGGTTGGACTGTGCGAAAGCATTGTCCCCCAATGGTCGTGGTGGAGCTGGCGGCGCTGATAATTCTATTGCATTTGGTGGTTTTTGTGGAGTCTCTTGAGTGACGCGGGGAGGCGTTTGTACGGAAGGGTTGGTAGCTGGGAAGAGATCTGGGATGCCAAGGCCTTGAAGCAGTCCTATATCTGACAGTGAGCTACCGGGAGAGCTTCTTTCTGGGCGTGCAGTAAAGTGTGGTGTGGCTGCCATGTTTGATGAGTCTAGTTGGGGTCCACTGTTATCAGGACGGGGATGGCGTGAGGAAGGGTCTGCAGTTGCAGAAGCTTCAATTGCTCTTCGTTTCATAGGTGAAACGTCTCTCCGCCGTTGATTTGGCAGTTCAGGGACCGGATCTCGTTTTCGTTTTGGGCTGTTTGTTGTACCTGCTTGGACCGGAGCAGATGGTGCCAGCTGAGGGACTCTTGGGGTTGGTTTTGCTGCGGAATATTTTGGAGAAGTTCGGGCAGGTAAGGTCTTTGGGCGTTCTCCTTGAGGTGGTGCAGACTGTACAAGCTCGGTGTATGGTACTGGGGTGCCGCCCCCTGGGCGGCCTTTGCCACGTAGGTGCTTCATATATCTGCTACGCCAGGACTGCCATGGATGAGCGGAAAACTGTGTGTTACCAGTTAGTATCAGGTTTATATGTGTCCTGTAACCTCAACAGAAACAGGAGAGCATCATACCAGTTCACTTAAATCCTGGTAGATTCTATTGCCTTGGACAGGCGCTCCTGGCTCTTGCTCAAAGTGTGCAATCCAATCAAACAAAATTTGATCCTCTTTCAGAGTAAAGAATGATCTTGTGCTTTTCGTGGGGATGTTGAATGCACCCATTGGACGGGGTGCGGATGGCCCAACCCGGTGGGCTTCTAGATCTTCGAGTCGTCCCTTGTTGATAGAACGCTCTACATATTGATAGGAGAAGCTAGTTTTAAGTTAGTACATCGATTTTGAGGCATCAAAGAGTTCCGTACGTGTCACTAGGCAGGTCTTTCCTCGTGTGATCTACCAGCTTGACATCGGCATCCTTCTCCATCAGCACAACGGTGCCACCATATTTCTAGATATTCATTAACTTCTGCAAATTCCAAACAAGATAAAGCGCCTCTGAATTACCTTGATTAATTCTTTAAACCTCGACCTTTGTGGAACAGTTAGAGATAGCCAGAATCGTGCACCTTGGAATAGATTCCCTGTCGTAGTCTCAGCCCGAGACGAGTCATTTTTGAGAGTCGCCATTTCAACTCTTTAGAAATCAAGCTTCACTTTTCTTCGAGCTTTTACGCCCTCAACGATAGGCCGGCTTTGTCTGCGACGCGGTATCACGTGTTAACGTGTCGCAAGGGGTTTTCTCCAATTCACTGGCGGGTTATGGGGTAAGATAGGCGTTGTGTCACTTGCTTGTGTCTGTTCTTGCGTTTGACCATATATGATTCTGGCAGTCTCAATCGACAAGAGTCATAGATGAATTGGTTGGTTCTCGCCGAGACTGAAAACGCGGTCACGTGGCATACACGAAACCGACGACGTGCGATGAGAACGCATTGACCGATCACGAGTCAAGTAAGGCAGGAATTGTGAAGAATACCGCTAGAGGATGCAGAGCGGAAAAGTATATCCTTTGAACTTCTCGTGAGAACTTAAGCTTCAGAATGGGGGCCCTCAGAACCGTCGCTCTGGTGATTCTGGCGATCTCAGGGTTCACCTTTATCGCGCTATTTGGCAGGCTGCCAGCTTTCCGGTGAGGAAATTGCCAATCTACAACCCTTTGAGGCTTTGCGCTGACTGATTAAGCAAAACTCCGGTCGCCTGGCTGCATCGGGCACTGTGGGTGTACTTTCCAAATGGAATTGCCGCTGTCGATAATTGCTTGTTCGGCGGGAGGGTAGTACGAGGCTGGAATCGATCTGGTACATATGTGCTGAAGGAGAACCACCCACTTGTCCTAGTGAGTATAGGGATCTATTATTACTTGTCCAGAGACTTACTATGCATACTAGATATTCTTTACCTCCTTACTGGTCATTGGAGAAGGCGTCTTTGTCCCGGCCGCGTGGCCTCGGCTTCCAAGCATTCATCGGCTCTGGGTACCCGTAGCTATCAGCTTGCCATACTTCCTGCTTTATAAGTGTATCGTGACCAAGTCATTTATCACGCCAGAGAATCATGAGGAAGAGATGAGGCGCTATCCGTACGACCGAGTCCTTTTTCATCCAGGACATCGATGTAGCACCTGCAAGTTCCAAAAGCCAGCGCGCAGCAAGCATTGCAACTTCTGTCAGGCCTGCGTTTCTCGACATGACCACCACTGTGTATGGCTGATGAACTGCGTCGGGGCCAACAACTGCGTCTACTTCATCTCGCTCTTGGTCTCCCTTTCTGTTATGTTGATATACGGCTCCTACCTTGGTCATTCCCTACTCTCTGAGATGCTGAAGCAAATTGTTCCTCCGGAGATACAGGCGACCATGCAAGGCTGGACGGCCTGGATCAACACATGGAGCGTTGTGATCGCTTCTGATCCCAAGATTGGGGCAGTATTTCTATTGATGCTTATGACTGCCCCGCTATCAATATCTTTCCTGGCGTACCACATGTATCTCATCTGGGCTGGTGTGACAACCAATGAAAGTGCCAAGTGGTCTGATTGGAAAGACGATGTGGAAGATGGCTTTGTATACAAGACAAGACGCAGCCTCATCTTTGGCAGCCCCCTTCCTATGGATCCATACGATGAACTGTGGCCTGTGCATACTGATCAGATCCTTGTCACGGATGAAAATCCTCCGACTGAAGGATGTTTATTGGCCTCCAATTCCAATTGCATTGCACGTCGCCCGGGATCAGACGTACCTCCTGACCCCCGATGGAAGCGACTCCACAATATGAGAGACGTCGACAACATCTACGATATGGGCTTTTGGTATAACCTTCGGGACGTGGTGGGACTATCTGTCCGTCGATCTAAGGAGGTATCCGGTATTTAAGCTCTTTGTATAAGCGTCTATCTTGTGAAAGTTTAATTCAGGAATATCTAAAATATCTACGTGAAAGATGGTGTCTACTACATACCTTGGAATCTTCCCCAATCAAACTGAGACAATAAGTGGAAACGATATTTGCTATATGATCAGTCTGTCTGATAGATAGCCCTGATTACTTCCATCCACTAAGAATAACGTTCCATAGTAAGAGCATATGTAGAGGTTGATGTAATAATTTACATTATTCCAGAGTCAACAACTGCAATTCTATTAAATAAACAGACAAAGAAACCCTCTATGATCCACAACTTCGACAGTAAAGAAACTAGTTAACTATACCGAAGTGATGTATGCTCAAGGCGGAGAGCTCAGAAGGGGCGAATGAGCGATAACACGATAACATTAGTGCGGGCGGAAAATTTGTCTCTCCACTCGAATCTTAGATTCTCTCATCCCACTGTGATCTCCCCGCGCTATTTACCGTTTGAAGGAATACGCGTTGAGATTCTCTTTGCAAGATGGCAGACCCAAAGCCACTATGCACGCCAGCCGAGCTCATGCTCAAGGTGATCCTTGCAGGGACCCTGAGCCACTACGAAGTTCGGGGCATGATCGATGACAAGCGCCTGGAGCATATGCTTGCCGCTGGGAAGCAGATTCTGTATAAGACACACCAGGAGAGCGATGTTCGGTAAGATAACAGTATAATTGACCGTTTGCATGGTTTGCATACTAATATGTTGCGCGCTTCTAGTCACAATCTCGGCATGTCGCCGGATATCTGGCAAGGTCTCACGAACGTCCTCACCAAAGCAATTCCCGTCCTCGAGTCCCAATCTTTCGCGTGGAAGAGCCCCGCAGCAAGCTACGAACACTCATCTGCCAACCTGATTGCATACAATTATTTCTCGCTGGTCAAAGATATTGAGCGCCTGAATGATCTGTGTACAATCGCCCGCAATCTCCTCGCCACAACCAAGAAGGCACAGAACCTCGCGGCAGAAACAGGATTCGACCAAAGAATTCTAGCTCTCATCGACACCTGTGTTCGCGTCACCGCTCGAGGCTTTGATGGCGAACAAAATGCGCGGAACGAGGAGCGATGGCAGAAAGTCGTCAACCTCTACAAGCGCCTTCTAATTACGTGCCTCCAGTACCTCCATAACTTCATCATGCACAATGAGCATCGCAAGATGGTGCTCTGGTTAGATTTGTTTGGTTACCATTCAACTGCTGATACGAACATCATAAAGCCCAAGGAGCCTTTGGACGATGCCAGCTCGCGAGAAGGAGTGGCACCCATTGTGCAAGTTGGAGAGCGGGTCATCAACCCTCCGATTCGCGCGCTTTACGACCAAACTGCAGAGGATTTGCTATTGGAGACTATCGCCAAGTTCCCGCGGGAGCCAGCAACTATCAAGGAAGAGGCTGCGATGCTGCTACTGGCCAACATTAAGGATCACATGGAGAGAATTTTGGGGCGAGACCTCAGCGCTATACAGGAAATGGGCAGAGACCCAGACCAGGTCAAGGATATCAGGGCTGCTTTGACCGCAATCCTTGGGGCTAAGGTTGACGGTTGGTCTGATCTTCAGGACCGGGCTCGTGAGCTCCCGGCTGCGCTTCCCGAAGAAGAGCACGAGGAGCCTGAAGACCACGAAGACCAGGAGCATGATGATCACAGGGAACACGACGAGGAAGAAGAGGAACACGAAGTCACCAAGAAGAAGACCATCCTGACTATTGATCGCAGTCTCACAGCTGGTTTCCCTCGTCTTTGCTGGGCCGATCTTCCAGAGATCAACGACTTCGGCGCCGTGGATGGACCTGTTACAGACGAAGATACCAGTATGCCCCGGTCAGCTCAATCTGCCGCCGAGACCCTCCAGGAGGCCAAGGATGAACTCATGGCTCGGCTCCAGGAGCCATCACATATCGATGGTGATGAAGAGCATGATTATGATCACGGCGATGCACACACTGTGGGGGATGACGATTCGCACAGCCTGGACCATATGGCTGACGGAAGCGTCGACGGAGATGGCGAGGATGATGTGGATGACGATGGCGTCGATGGAGAAGCCGATGACGAAGAAGAGGAAGACGATGAATACCGTGGCCGTCCCGGTGATCAACAGCGGGGTCTCCTGACAGATATCCCTCTGGTCCTTGGACCGGCGGAAATCGAAGCTTTGCCTATGATTGTTCAGGCCGGTATTGTGGACAGCTTTGGCCTCAAGGGCGGTGAACGGAATGGATCCAGGAACATGCAAGCGCTCCGTTGTCACATTCTGCTCACGCAGGAGACAGGACGTAACCTACTGCGTGAGCTACTGATTTTCATTGCGGCATGGGACCTCCCCGACGACGAGCTCTACTTTAAGATGATGGTCCAGATCATGGAGGCTGTGCTTAAGAACGGTCTAATGTCTCATGCCTACTCGGACTTCGGCCAGCCCAAGGACATAATCTCCCCGGCACAGGCTGTTGTGATCAAGATACTCACCCACATTTTCCGAGCCAAGTACTCTCCTGCTTCGGTAACGGGCTCGGCTCAGCCCAACATCCCCCGCAACCCAAGCTCACTCAACAGAGTTGATATTCTCACTGTCCGATACATTTTCACCATCTTCCGTGGCAACATCATCCCCGAGACTTGTGCTCTAATCTACCTTCAAGGCCAGATCCGCGCTCAGCGGGCTCTTTCGGAGGACTTCCCGCTCAATCTATGGGACATGGAACGGGTATACGAAGGTGTCTACCAGTTCTTGGAGTTCTTCGCCGTGCTGACCGAAAACAACGACTGGAAGAACCTGCTGGTTAAATGGGAGATTGTCTACGACTTGGTGACGTTGATTAAGGAGTTGGAAGCAAGCATCCCGAAGGGCCAGCTAAGCCAAATGTCCTTCGGCACCGTGCCCCCTCCCCCTCCTCCCCGAACCGACGCCGCAAACGATGCTTCTACCGCCAGTTCCCCTGCCCCTGTTGCCGTCGAACGTCCTTACGATCCCAGCGACCCAGACCCTGTCGACACCGGTGCCGGCAGCGTCGACTCTCGACCCGAGTCCCCTCCCATCACGGAGGATCCCTCCGAGTTCGAATGGCGCAATCTCAAGAAGCTAGTCGTGCTTGTGCTCTCCTCGCTTGTCTGGAAGTGTCCCGATGTCCAAGAGCAGATCCGTCGTTACGGTGGTGTCGAGGCGATTCTTTGCTGCACCGCTTTTGATGCCCACAATCCATACATCAAGGAGCATGCTGTGATGTGCCTCAAGTTCTTGCTAGAGGGTAACCGCGAGAACCAGCGCCTCGTTGAGGAACTCGAGGCCCGTGAAGTCGTCAATAATGACGGTGGCGTGCTGGAGCGAAGTGGCTACGAAGCGATGATCAACCAGGCAGGCAAGTTGGCCATCCGTTCCAAGGCTCGGGCTGAAGAAATTTTATGAAACATTGACCTTATGTGTGATGAAAATCTGGAATACTGCATATAGAGTAGAAAGCTCTCCGAATGATACTTTTGAATTAAAATTCTTTTCTTATATCCACGATTCGTACAGACATAACTGCGGATGCTAATAGAACTATGGATGTTTCCAGAAGAGGAAGGTGGATCTACATATGTGCTGCCTGAACCCCATCTTTCTGCCTGCAGATCTTGGCTTCGATCTGCTCGAGTCTATATTGTACAGGGAAAAGATTTACCTTGCTGTCTACAAGCTTATTTAAAATTAGTCGACTAAGGTGATGCTAATTTATGTCTACCATCGACCAGCAAGGCAGTCGCTAATTGTATTAATGTCTAGCAGGTTATCTCGGCAGCTGTCTCTATCCGACCTTTTTACCAAGACTGCAGATATTGAGTTGGTTACTGCTCGAAAGTCACCTACAATCCTTCTCTCCTCCGCCTTTTGTAAGACGTCTCATAGACATCTTCAAAACTAAAATAAACAATAACAGTGCCTATGGTCGATATTGGTTGGTATAAAAATATCCACATATCCACCATAATGACATTCAAACTCGGCTTCACCAAAAGGCTATCAGTCACCGTTACTGCACCGAAATGCTAGTCCGGCAAACATGACCCTACCCACTCCAGTTCCATCAAGGTGAGCCGCCTCGAAAGACATGGGAGTATGGGGTAGAGAACTGGGGTGACGCACTCGGGCCGGGATCTCATGCGCTATCCCTATACATAGGAGGCATCCAGATATCCGGTCTTTATGACTTGCGTTGGTTATCGGCAGGTATCCTGACATTTATAGAGCGGTCAAGGCAGTGGGGGTTCATCATGGTATTCGGAGAGGTATTCAGCAAGCTGGATTCCACGACCAATATCTGTTTCCATCTGCTCAACGCGCCATGTCAGTTCCTTTACGTCCTCTAGTAGATAAAGGCCCGACTCCAGATCGAGAGTGCGAGTTCTACGCAGTTTCGGCCAAAACTGCATAGCTTGGTACTCGGTCCACTCCTTGACAAGAATCATGGTTATCATGATCGTCAGTCCCAATACAAGGAAAATGAAAATAAGAGCAAAGGTCTCCCAGGCGGGGAGAGACATTGTAGTGGTTGGATGGGGTGGGATACTCACAGGTGAGTATATGGATGAAATGGAGTTGAGGTATATAAATGTGGAGATACCTAGTAATTTGGGGAGTAAGCGAGTAGATAGAGTCGCGCAGGGGGGAATGAGAGAAGAAAATACCCTGATGATGTACGATACTCCGGAGAAGTCACGGTCTGTGACTCGGTTCAAGTATAGAGAAAGATGGTATGAGTTGTAGAGTTGTAGAGAGGATGTGACGTGGAATGAGAAAATATATGAAGCAGGACTTGGGGACTTGATATTTATATGTGAGTTGCGGTAAGATCCTCGGCAAAGACTGTAGCTTCACAATGAAGTTGTATACCCTTTGTTAAGGAGGATCAAAGATGTAGACAAAGAGACGAATGAAACTGAGATCCAAGAGAGAACAAAGGTCTTTGAATCAAGTCCAATAATTAGATTATGAAAGCCAACGAGGGGACAACATTGGAAAGGACTCGTGGATATCATCGAGGTGCGCATATATATTGGCTCGAAGTGTAGGTGCTAATGCAGTTCTAGGCCTAAGGCGTAGATCACCAAAACACCACTGATGTCCTCCTATACACCCTTCTCGACGTCTTTTCACATCATTTACCGTTTGATGGCCTATGTCTTGCTTGTTCGAGTTCAAGATATGGTAGCCAGTAAACTTACTTCAATATCCATTTTATTAGAATGTACATGATCAATCGATGCAGATGCAACAGTCATTCACTCATGCTAAGATAGGAAATACTGCCATGTAATCTCCATCACAATAGACAGTTTAAAATGCTCATATATGCAGTCTCTCGATCTCTTCAGCCATACATGCCATCCCATTCCTCTTCTTCATCTTCCTCAACAAGCTTCTTCTTCGCCTCCGCCTTTTCTCTCAGCTGCTTGGCGAAATCCACACGGTCAAGCGGACACGTCCCACGCAGCCGCAGCCAGGGGCGCACACACTCCAAATCGAAGCGGTGTGTCGGGTGGCAGGGCAACTGGACGACGAGCGGGTATGGGTCTTCCACGAAGGGGTTGTTGCAGATAGGACACATATCAGAGGGTTTGAGTGATGCTTTGGGGACGCGTTCAAGCACTAGAGAGATCCAGACGTGGTTAGTTATGTAAATCACAAAGGAATGCCCCGCTGATTGCGGGGGAAGTTGATGGACAAGGTGAGCTCGGGAAGTGCTTCTTACTATCGCAGAATTCCTCATTCACGCCCTCTACCTCCCGCGGCGGCGTATCTGCCTGCGCGAGCAGCGACTGGATCATCGTGGTCAGCAGATCGCGACCGGTATCTGAGTCGGCGTTATGGGTGCCCTCCTGCGCGTCGGCGTGCGGCGCTGAGTCGGCCTCGCGGCGCATCATGTCCAGCGCTTCTGCGAGGGAGAAGAATGCTGCGCTCACATCTCCTGGGACGGGGACTGCATGGGGTCTGTGGTCGGGAGCTGGGGTGATCTGGGACAGGGTAGAGAAGAAGGTGGAGAGGTCTGGGCGGCGGCGGCGGGCGGTTGGGGCCGTTGAGGGGTCAGTGGTGTTGTGTTCGACTAGAATGATGTTAATTTTGGAGATTCTGGTTATATTTGAATGCTGGGGATTCGTACTTTCGTAGGTCGACATGGTGGGGGTGGAGGACTCGTAAGCTTTCGGAGCTGTTTTTTGAGGAATATGGGCGGGGAGAGCCCGTGTATTCTGTGACACCTCTGGAATTGTTTGCTTTTGCTGCACAATATTGAGCTGTAAAAGGAGAATGCAGAGTGGGTGCCGGTGTAGGTTGTTTTTATAAGGAAGTTCCCCGAAGGCAGTGAGTCGATAACGCGGCGCGACAGTTCTGATTGGTTCCTCACTATACAAGCTCATGGGAGGCCCATATTGATATATTGAGATTCAAATGACGGACATGTTCATAAATACGAAAACAGTGGGATAAGTCTAATAATTTTGGGAATTTGGGACCTTTGAGAGCTTTGAGAGACTGATATCGTTATATATATTATGGACTATGTCGTCACTAGTACATTAGGGGTTAGAACACCCATTTCTGCGTATGTGAAAGACAATCTTGATAAAAAGGGAATCTATTCCATCTGGATAGTTATAGAGTTATGTTAGTTACATAAAACCGTAGAAGCTTCTAGTGTGTCTAGACACATATGTCTCTGTCATCTGTAGGGCCTAGACACCTGTACAGGATGAGGTGATTAATCATACTAATCGCCACGCTTACCCAGATACCAACACTCTCTTCTAACATGGCAGACCTCATAGCTTCTCAGTATCTATATTTTCCCTCGATGGCCTCACTCCTAACAAACACTGTGCCCTGGCACGAGGGCGAGGAGAAATTACATCACTGGCTTCGAGTTCCTCACGGCGACAACCCAACTACCCCGTACCTGAGCCCGAGAGCTGCATCTCTTGTTCAACAATCCCCGCTGCTTGCCCTGGGTACATTGGATTCCCAAGGGAGGCCATGGTCAACGATATGGGGCGGCACAGCGGGCTTTGCAACACCAGTTGCTGAATCGCTAATCGACCTTAGGACACAAGTGGATAGCAAATACGACCCCGTTGTGCAAGCGTTATTGACCGGCAATCAAACTGATGCATACACAGGAAAAATGCTCTCAGGGCTGGCGATCGATCTGGAGAACCGTCAGAGAGTGAAGCTGTATGGCAGGATGGTGGCGGGCTCACTTTCTGATGGAGATGCAGGAGACGCACAGTTGGTGGTCCACATTGAAGAGAGTCTGGGGAACTGCCCTAAATACATGAACAAGAAGCATATCGTACCTGCGCAGTCTGATCCCAAGCTGATCTTCAACTCGCCGCAATTGAGTCCTGCTGCAGTTGAGCTGCTTACTCGTGCGGATACTGTGTTTGTGTCCTCGTCTCATGGAGCATCGACCATGGATACAAACAACCGTGGTGGTCCTCCGGGATTTATGCGTGTTGAATCCAACAGTGCTAGCGGTGCTGTTATTGTTTATCCCGAGTACTCGGGGAATAGACTCTATCAGACGCTGGGGAATCTAGAAACCACCCCGCTGGCTGGTTTTGTCGTTCCCGATTTTGATAGCGGCAACGTCCTTTACTTCACTGGATCGACCGAAATACTAGCCGGGAAAGACGCAGCTGCCATCCTACCAAGATCGAATCTCGCTGTGCGAGTCACTATCGCAGCAGCAATCTTTGTTGAAAACGGGTTGGCATTCCGTGGCGAGGCCGGAGATCCTTCTCCATACAATCCTAGCGTGCGATATCTCGTCAATGAGAAACAACTCCCTGGCACCCAAGAAGACGGAAATTCAGACCAAGTGGCAACATTAATAAAAAAAGACGACATTACACCATCCATCCAACGGTTTCGATTCCGTATCTCCGGCCGCAAACCGATTTCATGGAGTGCCGGACAGTATGTCACTCTGTCATTTGAAGACGAGCTTAATATGGGCTATAGCCACATGCGTGATGACGATCCAACCAGTCTAAACGATGACTATGTTCGAACCTTTACTGTGTCTTCGTACCCCGGTCGCGATATACCCGCTGATCAATTCGAGATCATGGTCCGACGACATGGTCCTGTTACTGGATATCTCTCTCGAGTAAATGAGCGAGCTGGCCTAGAAGTACCACTCAAGGGATTTGGAGGAAGCTTCCATGTATCTGGAGACTCCATTATCCCTTACGTGGCGGGCGGTATTGGCATCACACCCCTTCTCGCACATCTTCCAGAATTGGATATCTCTCAGCTGCGACTATTCTGGTCAATCTCGTTCAATGATTTGGGACTGGTGCATGATATTTTCCAGCGGTGGCCACAGTTGCCCCTGTCAACGACTTTGTTTATCACCCATGTGGAGCTCGATGGAGCCGATCGGCGGATGTGGGACGGCATCGAGTCGTCTGGGGTGCAAATGATAAGACGAAGGATGCAAGCCGAGGACCTAGACCGTGCGCTAGCAGATGTTTGGCATCTCTGCGCGGGTGTTGCGTTGAAGCGGATGGTTCTAAATTGGCTGGTTGGAAAAACGGTGCTTTATGAGGATTTCAACTATTGACGAAAGAAGCATATTGAAATGATATTCCAATGTTCTCTTATGTTCGCAATATCTCCATAATTAATATCCAACTTATTTGAAACAATTCCAAAATGTCTCCAAAGCTGCACTGCCCGATAAAAATAGATGACGCAGCCCCAAACGTGTCAAAGTGGAGCGCCGATCATGAAGACTGTAGGGGCTTCTCAAGCTGAATTCTTTCTTTCCTCTTCACATATTCACAACTCGCCATGAAATCACCCTCCGTTAAGCCCTCGGCGTACCCGCCGCTGCCATTTCATCTCATCCGCTTCCTGATCTTCCTCTCCTCAATCGTCGTAGGCGTGATCTTGGCAGTGTTTACCTACCACCTCCACGCCGATGGCTTCAAACTACCATATTCATTCCTTGTGGTAAATAAACATTCAAATAGCCCATCTCTCCTAGCAAATACTAATAAAACCCACAGCTCTTCGTCTCATCTGGCCTCTCCCTCCTCAACATCCTCCTGACCTCAGTAATCCACTGCAGCTGCGGCCTATCAACAAAACTCTCCATATCACTCAACATCCTCCTAACAATCCTCTGGGCTCTATCCCTGGGCCTCCTGGGCTGGAGCATAGCAAGCACAATAACAACAACGTGCACAGCAGCCTACTGGGGAAATTCGACCGGCATCGCCGTGTGCAGGAGCTACAAAGCCCTCTTCACATTCACCATCACCGGACTGGTGTCCTACATTGCTGCGGTCTGGCTGGACGTGATCGTACGCCGTCGCCAGACTCGTCTCGGTGTCTACGACGCTATGGGATCACAGCCAGGCCTCGATGACTCGGGTGCCTTTGATGTCAAGATGGATGACCGCCACAGCGAGTCCACTCCCGCCTTGCATGATTATGATAACGTGCCCCCTGCGATGTCCGGTGCTTATGGTCAGGGACATGCGCCGGCACCCCCGGTATATGAGCGCAATTTGGAATATGCCCATGCTGGTGACGCGCAGGATTATTATGATTCTGCTCCTGGGATGAGTCACCGTGGTGTGCCCAGAGTGCGTTTTAGTGCTTATGAACAGGATGGGCACCAGAGGCCTGCTGAGAATACTGGGTACGATCCTGCTATGTATCGCTGAGTGGGCTTTTGGTATTTGGGGTTTCTTTCTTTTTCTTTTTCTTTGCTTCCATGACAGCAAGCGTGATTTTACGATATTTATCTGTGGGTGCATCTCAAGGTTCATATTCGGGTGTTTGGGGTTGGCATTGAATCTATCTGCATGGCGTTTCGAGGGATCATTTACTGGGATATATGATATTTACGAAATAAATCCACAGGTATAACAGATATCAATGCAAGAAATCCAACGACTCTTCCATTTTGGGTTCGTTCTAGATAGATTAAAACAAAAAGATCCTTAGATCGGCTGCGCTCACGAAGCAAATAACCATCCAACCATAAGATAAGATGAGATGGGACAAACCCGACAATGAAGCCGTATCAACGAGAAGATCAGGGTAATCTTCGATCAAAGAAGACCAAGAATCAGTTTACATAATGACCTCGTTGCACACATCCTATAAGGAACGTAAGTCAATGACACATAGAAGAAATACCTAGAATTAATACATACCCGCTTGAGTTCTTTGTAAGGCAAGCACACGCAGTTCTGCACGCGGACCTCATCGCCAACAGCACACTCCTTGCCAAGAATGGTGATGCTCTGCACCTTGATACCCTGCTTGACAATGCTGGTAGAGTGGCTAGCCACGGGGATGGGTGTACCCTCCACGCGAGCCCAGGCACCGACACGGCTGCTCCACCCGATGATCGAGTGCATGACGCAGGCGTCGTGGCGGATCTCGGCGTCCTCGAGGACGATCGAGTCCTTGATACGGGCACCGGCGCCGACCACGACACGCGGGCCGATCGAGACGTTAGGACCGAGCTTGGCGGTGGGGTCGACGGAGGCAGTGGGGTGGATGTAGACCGGAGGCACGATGGTGGCAGAGGGGGAGTGAGTTCGGGGGACTCGGCCTGGAATGCCTTTTGGAGGTACAGGGCGTTGGCAGGCACAGCAGAGCCGGCGGACTTGATCTGGCGCCAGAAGTCCTTGGTTTCGTGGACGAAGAAGCGGTTGCTGTCGGCCAGGTCGGAGAGGATGTCTTGTTCCAGACGGAGGACCTCGTTCTTCTCGGCGTCCTCGTCGTCTCCGGTGGCGATGAAGGAGGATTCCAGGTTGTCGGAGGAGGGGTACGAGAGGAGGCGGGGGCGGGTAGTGCGGCGCTTGATGGCGCTGCGGATGGCGGGGAAGATGCACTCGGTAGCGAAGAGGTAGACGCCACAGTTGATCAGGTTGGAGATGTGCGACTCGGGCTTCTCGACGTAATGCAGCACACGCTTGGTGTGTGAATCGGACACGATGCATCCGAAGTTTGTTGCGGTGTCGTTCGACACCCGTGTACCCAGAATCACAGCCTCGGCGTCCTTCTCCTCGAATAACCGCATCATCTCGCCCAGCGGGAATGAGCAGCAGACATCGGCGTTCAGAACGAGCAGCCGCTCGGGCTTGCCCTTGAGGATGGCATCACGGAAGTGGTATAGGCCACCGGCGGTGCCCAACGCTGTGTACTCGCGCAGGTAGAGGATGCGGAGCTGGGGGAATTCCTTCGAGGCATCCTTGATGAAATCCCGGAATACGCTCTCATCGTAGTATCCGACCAAAATCACTTCGCGTACATCGGGGACCTTAGCCACCGCCTTCAGGCAGTGGTGGATGATGGGGTGGCCAGCGACTTCGAATAGGGGCTATGGGAGTTGCGGTGTCAATGTTCGTCCAGCGCAGATTAAGGACAATTAAATGAGATGCAGATGCATACCTTTGGTACATCGAGTGACAATGGGCGGAACCGAGTGCCTCTTGAGGGGCCTCCGACCTGTGGACAAGGTGTCAGCTATTGTTTACCGCGAGGATTCCGTCACTTACCAAGATCACGGCCTTGGTGGAAGCCTGAGTATTGTGATTATCACGCATTGGTATATTAAGCATGACGGTATGCAAGGAGATGCGAAGAGAATACAATAGGAAAGGCCAGAGAAACCCCGAAGCTCCTAAACGCCAAGACGACGGTTTCGGTGGGGCACCTGACAACATTTTACTCCTTTCGGCCACTTTTCAATGCACAGCTTCGTCTTGATATAAACTGTAGATATCTACCCCTTGCTGAGGGCTAATTTTGACAGACTTTGACAGTATTTGACAGTTGTGGCGTACTGGATTTGAATACCTTCCTCTCAATGACGGGCCCATCACTGAGTCTATATACAACCTGCCCGACTTGACTGCTTATCAAGCTCTGCGCAATAGCTGGACTTCTCAAAGTTTTACTTCTCTGTCTCTGAATTCTCCATTTATGATACATGAGGCCATATTAAAATCCAACTGTTAATGCTCCGAAGCCTCGTCTTCACTAACAGCAGCATCCTCAAACCTCTGGCAAAGTGATTTTTCATACTCCTTAGCATCTTACACTTTTCAACATCGGAACCCTAGAAATCCGATACAACCCGTTATGTTGAGAGAGAAGGTCGAATAGACCTGTCGGACTGTCCAGATTGAAAGGTTTTATAACTGTTGTGGCGGAGTCAAAGCATGCATCATGCACTATGCCAACGGATCCAGTGCAAACGGTCCAAAATCAACTAGGACTACATGCCAAAGACTGGCTTGGATATGCAAATATAATACAAGCTCTGTCGAAAACGAATCTCGTTAATCGCTATAACCGACATTCGACTTGTCATATATTATTCCCACTGATTCTTTAACCTCAATGTCAAAGATCTCGCACATCCTTTCTGCTACCCACTACGATCTGTTAACAATTCCTGTCCCACTTGATTTTAGCTTTTGTTTTCCCCTACCTAACATAAACGGTGAAAGCCGACATAAGAAGCAGACTCGATACAATAACCACGCGTACTACTAGGACTTTACATATCGTAGATGCCGCGAACAGGGAACTACGCATCTGGTAGAAGTCGGTTACCTTGGAATAATTAACAACACACTACCGGCAGCCTACACCAGAAGGCTTGTGATAGACGGTAGATAAATAGAAACCAGAAAGGATCATGCAAGAGCTCTAATACTAGAACTATAGAATCAGATAAAACAATGTATGACATTAGATCCGAGACGCAGGTACATTATGGCGGTCAGTAGAGATTGTCTCTGGTAACTATTATAGCTATTAGCCTGCATACGTAGGCCAGTCCAGGGTATGCAGTCCTATCTGATTCTGGGCTGTTTGCACTAGACCCGTTGGCATAGTGCAATATTTGCTAAGCATTGTGGTTTGACGTCTTTTTTATTTATTTCCAATTTGATGCATGTCTCAACATGGTAGTCTGCCGGGGAGCTTAGCGTATCTCCTAACGCAACTATGTAGGGGGCAAAATTGGTTGTCCGCAAGGCCGACTGAGTTCCCGATGACAATCAATGCGCGTGCAACGCCCAAGAAGCATAGACCCACATGCTGGTAAGCTATTTAAATTTGAAGAAACTGCGGATGGGGCTACGAAGGAGAATGGGCAACGCATCAAGCAGTGTGTCGAGTTTGTTAGGAAGTCCTAAAGACGGAGAGACAGGAAAGGCTGTGAATGCCCTGACGGTACGAAGACGTCGCAACGTTGGAAAATCGCGCGCTACAAGGATAGCCTAGTAACGTGTACAATAATTAGGTTACGATGGGCCTTTACGAGGCGGGAGGTTTGTTTTTAGGAAGTGGTGAACATGGATGTACATAGTTGCTGTAGCCTGGATATCGCCTTGGTAGTTAGCTAGTTATAAGCCACTACCCTCTAGATTTAGGAAGATTCTTATTTTGGTTAAATTGTCATGTAACTTGGTGTATATTCATCTCGGGAATTATCTCTGATGGTGCAGTTTCGTTCCTGGTCTGAACGAGTGTCAATAGACACGCCAATGGACGTGATATAAACAAAGCTCTGGCTTGTTACACGCAGCCTTCGAAACATTCCTGTTAAGTTGAATCCCTATCAGTTTCGGCGCTTATCATAGTCCAACCCTTGCCCTTTAGATGTGAGCTCCCCCGATTGCTAGGGCTCATATCTGTCAGCGCATAGTTCCCATTACTATGACGAGGCACGTCACCGGCTGTGATCGTGACCTTGCTTTCTCCACCAATCAGCCCTGCCTCACCAGCATCAACTTGTGAAAGAGCTCCAGCTCCAGACTGTGTCAGATTTGATTTTGAGAGCGAGAGAGCGGCCGAGACCACGCCTTTGGTGAAATGTTTGATAATCGGGGTGAGGGTAGGTAAACATGCGGAAATTACACCTGCAGCGCTCTCAACGACACACCAGGTTTGCGCATCGGCAATGGTCCAAGCCACATCGGTGATATCGAAGATGAAAATGAGGCTGAAGCGGTAGATACTCGCAATTACGACGCTATATATAGTTAGCACACACTCAAATATCCGCTTTCCAATCAAATTCTGCCGGGAACCCCTTTTGAAGGCCTATATGGCACGTACAAACTTCCCGTCAAAAAAACGCATATGATTGATATACGCTGCCATAGCCTTGCCTGCAACCCCCAAATGAGTTTTGCCGGTAAAGCCAGAATACATATGTCTATCACGAAGTTTGGTACCCCGTTCCCGATCAGTGCGCCCTTGAGAACGATGCAGTGACCAGGAAGCATGGGGTTGAACGCCTTGGCAATTGGCCAGCACTGAAACAAGGCGAGGAGATCCATGGCTATAACCCAAGTGAGAGTGACTCCGCCAAGGACTAGACCACCGATTTTGACGAGACGGACAGGGAAGATTCGATAGTACATGAGCAGTACGGCAAATTTTATGATGCCGGCTGTCGTAATATAGAGTGGTTCAAACGCGTAAATCAACTGTTGGGAAGTGTATAATTAGATAATGTCATTGCTTGCGCTCTGAAGTTGACCATCCGTGGGTCTCCCCCTCGTACCTTGAAAACCATGGATTGACCCTCGGAAGAGATGGTATAAGTATGTGTGCCCATGCCATATTCAATACCTTTCGATGTGGTTAGCTCGGATTATGCTTGTACCACGCTTATATATGCCCAACAAAACCTACAGGCAAGGTTGATTCCCGCAATAACCAACGAAAAGATCTAGCAAGGGGTTAGATCGGATTATCACAGACGCTGGATGCGAAGAGATCAAGAGCTACGCACCAATCCCACAATCAGAACCCAGTCATCCGCTCCAAGATGAACGTGTTTTATGCCCCGAGCTACTAGTCTCAGCACCACAAAGAAAATAGCCAACACGGCGAAAACAATAGTCGTGATGCGCTGCCTGGGCTGAGTACTCTCATGCGCATCGCTAGAATCCATTGTTATCGCATGACCTTGCAAGAAACAGCTAACAATTGAGCAATGATATTGAAGAAGCAGGGGTAGCAGACCTGAGATATGAAACGTATTTTCACTACGTAGGATTTGCCATGGGAATCCTTTAGCCCTACTTTCAAAGGTATCAAAGTGGGACTTATCTAAAATGCCAAGACCGTTTTTCATTGCAAATTACCAAAATAGGTCTAGCATGAGACCGTAGAAGTCGATTTATGAGAATTTCCATGGAACAACTTGGCTAGTCCCATGGGAAATGTCAATGCTTACTGCTCATTGATCGATTTACGCCATCAACTAACGCTACCGCGAGCCGAGCACTCCCATCATGCCACTTAGTCTACTTCGTACATTCTGTATCGAGATGGATTAGGCCGAGATATGGATAAATTTTATGCTCGTGTTCCAGAAAACAATGGGTGAACCTCCGAGGACGCTAACATGCCGCCCATTCCGCCTTTGGGTTTCCGTAAATAGTCTTTGTTTCTGAAATCTTTTTCAGAATAATATCTACCTCATAATCTCAGCCGCTTTCAATGACGAACCCAACATTCGTATTTTCCCTGGGTGCCTGGGTCGTCCCCGCCGTCTTTGAAGCTACCCGCTCCCGTCTGGAAACCCTCGGATTTGCCTCCGAGTGCCCCGCGCATCCTTCAATTGGCGCTGAGCCGCCTTCTAAGACTCTAGCCGACGATACCTCCTCCCTGCGCAATGTGTTGACGAAGCTTGCAGACGAGGGGCGCGACTTGGTTGTGGTTGGACACTCCTATGGCGGCGTGGTTGCTTCCTCGTCTGTCGAAGGACTGGATAAAGCTGCTCGTGCAGCCGAGGGCAAGACTGGCGGTGTTGTGAAGGTTGTATACCTGGCGGCATTTGCCCTAGACAAGGGCCAAAGCTTGTTGGGTATGCTGGGAGGAAACTATCTACCCTGGATGAAGGTCGAGGTAAGCCTATGCTGGAAATGATACATATTTGAAAACACAAAATGTGCGCCACAAGAGGACAAAGCTGACTAGTGGATAGGGTGATTACGTCCTGGCGGATGGTACCGGAGAGGTTGGCTGGCAGGATATCTCCGTTGAGGAGCAGGAGAAGTGGAACGCGCTGGCCTCACACACCTCGCGTGCTGTGTTCTCTGGCGAGTCCACTTATGAGCCTTGGACCGACATTGCCTGCGCCTATATTGTGTGTGAGCAGGATCGTGCCCTGCCACCCCCATTCCAGGAACTATTTGCTTCTAAGATGGGTGGGCCGGAAAATACTTACCGACTACCTAGCTCGCACTCGCCGTTCTTGAGTATGCCGGATCGTTTGGCCGAGGTTCTGCAGCAGATCGCAAAGCCATGAGGGATTTTCAATTTTGATTTAGCTCAATTATTCGAATTACCACGTGCATGATTTAATATAACACGGAGTGTCGATAGTGAATATCACAGCCAACAAACTTATTTTAATTGTTCGTCTTAAGCCCCCACATTGATGTGAGACAATTGCCCCCGAACCGCCCCCAAATGTACTCCGGACCTAGAAAATTTCGACTACATGGCCCCTGAAAATAATTATATATGAGAAAGTTCTTGCTCGGCACTCGGTTACATACTCGGAGTATCACTTCGGCAGTTGAAAGACCAAAGTACAAATCCGTACTAAGGCTAAACCTTCCATAGTGTATTGTTCCAAGGTGGAGAAAGGAGTGATAGCGAGCCAATCATATCCATGATAACCAAATCGCTCCCAGATGGACAGTTTAGTTAGTCTCGTCCCGGTGATCTGGTCCTCGGGATATTTGTCCAACTGTACGGAGGTACCCTGCCACACTTTGCAGGGGCGCAGAAGCCAGAAAGCCAAGGCACTACGAGAGGATTTCGGTGACGGCAATTGTTACCTAGTTATATTCACTAGGTAGTATCGGATAATATGATTATTTTCCCTTTGCTCTCGCTTTTGATTGACATCTAGAGTAGGCTTCGGGCCCCCGGTAGGTCTTGTGGATTGAACGTAGAAAGATGATAGTGGTAAGATCGTGACGGAGAGGAAGATTACCATCCCGGTAGGCAGTTGTATCTTATAGCGCAGGTTCAAGCAATTTGTATACAAAGGTGGTGCCGTGTATGAAACACAACTACCTTGCCGCCTAGATCATTATGTATTTCCTAAATGGCTCTCACGGCCTCGATGTATGTAAATGCTGTCAATTGATATTAATCGGTACAATTTCTTTTCTTTTTTTTGTATTTTTGCTCTGCTATTCATTTGTGTTTACAATTTCCCACTTGATCCATCTCTCCAGCACTCCATCACATTCAAAACATTATGGGAGTCCACAGGCACTCCCTGAGAACAGCAACTTTAAGCCCACATTTGGCTCAATCAATATCGATGTGAGCAGCATAAGCTGCCAAGACCACAATGACACAACTTTGTAAATCAGCACCAATCCTCTTTGATGTCTGCAAGATCAGTTTGATCAACGTCTTTCATCTCCATGTCCTCATCTCGGACAGAGTCCAACCATTCTTGAGCCTTGGAAAACTTCTCGCGCTCTTTCTGTAACTGAGCACGACGATGCTGGCGTCCAGGGTCCTCCGTCATGAGATCGAGACAGCGCGCACGACCTAAGTTACCTATTAGTATAATTTTCAATTTTGTACTCGACATAAATAATGCGTATACTCACCATGATCGCCGAAAATCTCCAGGTCGTCACGAAGAGTATTGACGAGGCCCGCACGGCAAGCCCGGAACAGCTTCATGTGAGTCGACTGACACAAGACGTCCAGGAAACGAGAAGACGCGATATCGTAGTAGGCCAGCGAGCTCTATGACCGCAATTAATAGATGTCAGGAAATTCCCTGGAAGACTTACGGCCATCATATCAATCTCTTGAGAATATCTATCAGGACCGAGTTGGTCTGATTGGACCTTCTTGATCTTGTCGGAAATCTTTTCATCATTCATATCGTGGCCACGGATCTTGAGCCAGCACATGGCCCGAGAATTGTGCCGACGAGATTTCAACGAGCTCGAAACCTGTTGCATCAAGAGTTGGTGTTGGCTCTGGGCCATCGTGAACGGTATCTCGTGCTCCGACTTGCAATAATCTTTCGCGATCTGAAGGTGAATGCGGCGGAGCTTGCTCATGAATTCTTTCAAGATTCTGCTGAGCTCCTGATACAAACCAGTCTGGTGGTACTGAGCGAACTCCTCCTCCAGAGCTTCAATCAGCATGCTGTGAACAAGGCTATGTGTAGCCTTCACGAAAATCTCCATGAGCTTCCCCCAATGCTCAACACTTCTTTTGTTTAAATTTTCGATCGCTCGTGGATCAAGCTGGTTTGGTACACCGACTGTGTTCGACCGAATCTTAAGCTCCGTAAGTTGTTGAAGTGTGATTCGAGCAGACTTGGACCCTTCGAAGTGGGAGGTTGTGTACATAGTCCTTCTCGGAGTTGCTGGTTCGGATGTAGAACCACCGCTCGCAGGGGACTTTCTCTTCTTGGGTGTTGACGTGTTGACACCTACAATCTTCATCTCACAATCTGAATCAACAACTTCAGCCAAGTCCTCATTGTCCTTCTGCGCAGCAACGTCCAAGATAGGGCGTGTCTTCGCGAGTGCAGTCTGCAGATCCATAACAATCTCGGTCCACTGCTCTTGCAGCGGTTTTTGCTGGTAAGAGCTGTGCTCGATGTTTGGGGTCCCATCAAACAGCTCATGAATCTTCCGTTCAAGATCCGACGTTTTGCCCCAAAGGATCCGCTGCACGTCCTCAGTGGGAGGATTGGGCAATGTCTGCAATTCTGCGTCAATGGCTTTCGACTTTTCATCGATCTGGGCGATGATGGACGGCAAGGATCCTAATATCTGACGCATCAACAGGTCAGACAATGCCGATTGAAGTTTACGGGTACCAAAGCGGTCTTTAAATGCGGCGAGATCTCTTGTCCACAGTGAAGAACCGAAGAACATTTCTTCCTCCTTCCTGGCTTGGACATGGCTGACAAGTGTATCAGGATTGTTTCGAATGACATAATAACCATGGCCAAGCTTGAACTTCGTGCCATCCAAGATTTCGTGCCATTGGCCGAATGCTTCGTCAGAGGGCCGGCGGTCTGGCTTGGTCAACACCCCAAGGGTACGTTCCTTTGCGCCTTTAATGTCCCGGACGAGGCGAGCAGCACTTGAGTTTGTCGCATCGTCAGTCATGGGTAGTGTGAGGAGTACAATGCAATGCTCCTGAGAAACGTAGTCCTTGACCAAGTTTTCAACTAGGTTTACCAGGTATTTCTCATTGTCCTGCTCCGTCTGGCTAATCACCCCAGGTAGATCGTAGAAGGACAAGTTAGGCAGACCTGGGCCGGAAATATCCAAACGCACGGCGTTCGGAGAAAACTTGACCTGAGGAATAGATGACATGTCGGCCATAGTTCCAGGCGCAAAGTCCTGCGGATCTGTGCTTGGATTTAAGATCGCCAACTGGCCGCACAGAATAGCCTTTTTGACTTCCTGCTTATCGTCCAAGGTGACAAAATGTTCATCATCCTGACCGCCGAGGGCAATCCATGGTCCCAGTGGCTCTGACTTCTTTGACACCTTCATGCGCTTCGATGGATCGAAGATGTAGCGGCGTGATAAATGGATCACGCATTTCCAGTTTTCCTCACTTTCTGATAGATTTATCTCCAAGGGGCATCGAGTGCAGGTTCCTTCGGATCTAGGGACCTTGATTTCGGAGATACCTTCGATAAGGGAGCTTTTCCCGGTGCTCTGGTCACCGACGACACATATTTTTGGCAGCATAATTTTGCTGTCCTCGATACCCAAGTGGCTGAGGTCTTGAATCTTTTTCACCAGGTTTTTCATGTCCCTGGTGAGATGCTCAAGAGACGAACCGGGAATTAGGTGGGTTGGAGTGACATCAGGTATACCATGAGAGACTGGCATTTGAACAGCTAAGCTAGCTAGAGAAATGAAGAGACCAGTTAGAGAGAAGACCTGCCTTATCAAGAGAGACCCGACTCACAAATTGCTGGCCTGGGTTCCGACTTTGGAACTCTGTCATGCACGCCTGACATTGCGGCAGATCAGGCCTGGAGGAGTGATTGTTAGCCACGAGAGCGGGAAGATAGGAGACAAGAAGTGGTGCCCAAGGTCACTAGTGGTAGCTCTAGGTGAAGTGGGACATACTAGCAGACACAGAAACAAAGCAGAGGATGCAAACGACAGATACCTGTGATACCCAAGCCAGGTTGCCCAAGAGTGTGCAAAGAGGTAGGCAAAATTCAAAAGTTGCAGACACAAATAAACGGGTGTCGGTAGATAGGAGAGAAAGGCTGGACCAAGGTCGAGGAGATAGGTGATAGAGAAATATGATGAAGAAAGATAGAAAGGAGAGAAAGATAGTGTGTAGAAAAAGGACGCAGACTGATTGGGATAGCTACACAGGAGTGAGAAATTGAAGAGAAAAGAAAGTACACAAGAGGTCACCACCTACATGAGAGCGAAAGAAGAGATGGAAAACAGTCGACACCGCGTTGTGGCTAAACGGTGCTACTGGTTGGAATCACCTTTCTTCCACAGCCAAATATCACCCTCGCCAAGCTCCATATCTCTACAAGTTGAAGCTATACAGATCTGAGTGATTGGATTTGATATGTAGCACCCGCAGTTACCAGGCAACGAAAACATGGGAGAACAGACCAGAGATCACGACAAGCATACACCAAAACCCCACATGGAAGTATAATCCCTCGACACAATGTGGTGTTAGCGTTAGTCAATCTGAAACTTGGCCCTTTTAAATGTTCTAAAGCTGAAAACAACCGACATTGGCTTCTACACTCCTTGTTGTCCGAATTTATACTGCCAAAAGTGGCCCAAAGTATTTGGTGTTTTACCACATTTACGAGGCATTATGCACTGTACTCACCTCGTAAATAGAACTTAAAACATTGGATTGTCAAAGTCGTGATAATCAGCATCAAAATCTTCCGTAAAAAGCCCCCACGGGTGAGTCCGCGACAGCTTGATACTCAGGTTGGTGTAATAACCAGTAAATCTGTAGTCTCGTTCTAGTAGCTAGCTCAGTTCATCAAGGCCATGCATTTCATACTGCCTCTCGGTTCGTTTTTAATATTGGCTTTTCAAGGTAGCATTGATTCTGTTTTCCAATTCCACAGAACCCTAAAACTTAACACAATTGGTATGAGCGTGATTTCTTTCTTTCCCACTGTCTGTAGATTGGATCTTTCCATAAGCAGGTCTCCTGGTGCCAGGGGTGTGTGCTCGACAATTCAACAAGACAACTCTGAACTAATTAGGGCTGTCGGCTGGCTGCACTATGGCACTTTACTCCATGGTGGTTTGTAGGTACGCCTGGCCATTAAGCCACGCTAGCCCAATTGCAGAATTGATGCTCTAACAAATCCAAATAACAAACTTTCTAACAGTAGATGGTCTATTAAGATCTAAACAGCCACTACAACTCGCTTTCAAACTCATATTTAGTGCCATAAGGGGAGGAATTGGAATTCCTGAAGGCGATATAGAATGTCCGTGCCCTAAACCCTACATCCTAATTGAGTATCCACGAACTATGCTTGACAACGGGAGACGGGAAGCAGAGTCCGGACAGTAGAAAATTTTCAATAAAGATCATATTTACATACATGGTTATTTCAGTGCCATTTATGAATGAGTCCAGTTGGTAATGAGTCATGAGGGTCAGATGAGGGTCGAGAGTTATATGCAACCGTCCAATCAGATAACATGCCGATCCCGCCCAAAAATTCAAGTGCTTTATCCCACCATCCCACCATCCCACTTTTTGCTCTCTGTAACCACACATTATGGCGGATTCCAACCCTGTTCAAGAGGCTACTGCCTCCATTGCTAACCTTCTTCTCGATGATGTCACCGGCGAGAAAGTCTCCAAGACCGAATTGAAGAGACGCCAGAAGCAACGTGAGAAGGACGCCAAGAAGAAGGAGAAGGAGGCTGCTGCTCCCCCCAAGCCCAAGGCTGAAAAGAAGTCATCTGCCGAGGAGGACGAGGCCAACTTGACTCCTAATGTTAGCGATCTTATTCCCCAAGTCAATTTCTGTTTCCTGGAAAGCTAATTAGTGTGTCATTCCAGCAATACTTCGAGATTCGGAGCAAGAAAATCAACAAGTTGCGCGAGACCAAGCAGCCGGAACCCTACCCGCACAAGTTCCACGTTGATACTGACCTCCGCAAATTCGTTAAGGACTATGAGGGTCTCCAAAAGGGTGAACAGAAGCCCGATGTCGCCGTTCGCGTTGCTGGCCGTATCTATACCAAGCGTTCCTCCGGCAACAAGCTTAACTTCTACGACATCCGCTCAGAGGGTGTCAAGGTGCAGGTAATGTGCCAAGCCCAATTCGCGACCGGAAAGCCCTTTGAAGAGCAGCACGAGCTTCTTCGTAGAGGTGATATTGTGGGCATCGTGGGTTTCCCCGGCCGGACCAACCCTAAGAACCGTGACGATGGTGAACTTTCGATCTTCGCCACTGAGGTTATTCTCTTGACCCCTTGCCTACATGCTATTCCTTCGGAGCACTACGGCTTCCAGGACAAAGAGCAGCGTTTCCGCCAGCGCTATCTCGATCTGATCATGAACGACCGGTCATGTGATATCATAAGGACTCGCTCTAAGATTGTCTCCTACATTCGCAATTACTTCGAAAGCCGTGATTTCATTGAGGTTGAGACTCCGATGATGAACGCTATTGCTGGTGGTGCTACCGCCAAGCCCTTCGTAACCCACCACAATGATCTCGACATGAACCTCTTCATGCGTGTCGCCCCCGAACTGTACCTCAAAATGCTGGTCGTAGGAGGACTCCACCGAGTATTTGAGCTGGGTCGCCAGTTCCGAAATGAGGGAATTGACCTTACTCACAACCCTGAATTCACTACCTGCGAATTCTACCAGGCTTACGCGGATGTGTACGACCTGATGGACTTGACCGAGGACCTCGTTTCGAGCCTGGTTAAGCACGTTACTGGAGGCTACGAGACAGTATTCCACACTCAGTCTGGTGAAGTCTACAATGTGAACTGGAAGGCTCCCTGGCGGCGCGTGGAGATGATGCCTGCTCTCGAGGAGGCCTGTGGCGAGAAGTTCCCCCCTGGTGACCAGCTCCACACCCAGGAGACAAATGAATTCCTCAAGCGCGTGCTAAAGAAGATGAACGTGGAGTGCTCAGCTCCTCAGACCAATGCCCGCATGCTGGATAAGCTGGTTGGCGAGTTCATCGAGAACACATGCATCAACCCCACTTTCATCACCGGTCACCCCCAGATGATGTCGCCACTGGCCAAGAAGCACCGCGAAATTTCCGGTCTTTGCGAGCGATTTGAAGCCTTCGTTTGGTAAGTTCTCACCCAATTTATATGCGGATATGAAGCCTCATATGAAACCCCCCCCCCCTGTTCTCTCCAAACTTTTCCTGCTCAAAATTGGTCCAAAATTGCTCTGCCTCAATTGGCCAATCAGCTTTCACGGAATCTTTTTTTTAGCTAACGCAATATAATTATAGCACGAAGGAGATTACAAATGCTTACACCGAGTTGAACGATCCCTTCGACCAGCGTATGCGCTTCGAGGAGCAAGCCAACCAGAAGGACCAGGGTGATGACGAGGCTCAGATGGTTGATGAGACTTTCTGTCAATCCCTCGAGTACGGTCTGCCCCCAACTGGTGGCTGGGGTATGGGTATTGACCGCATGGTCATGTTCATTACCGACAACTACAGCATCAAGGAGGTTATGACTTTCCCAATGATGAAGGAGGACAAGACCGCTGCCGACCCCAAGTCTGCTGCCGAAGTCGCCGGTATCGAACCCAGTCCCGAGGAAGGAATCCGTATGTTATTAATATCAGCAAATTTCCACGAGCCGGTATCACTGACGATGAATATACAGCCCACAAATGAATAAAGTGATATGACTGCTCAACATCAGAATGTTGATGCTATTGATGTGTGATGCGTCTTGGGGATTTGCATGCAATTCTCTGTTTTATGACAAATGCAGCAGATAAGATAGATTCTGAAGAATATCTCGGCGAAATAGCCAGTTTTTAAACAATATCCTTGTTAGTAATTGATGCCAGAACGGAGTCGGTACCTACATATATGCAAACCGGATATATCTTGTACGTCTACTCAATATTTAGCCCTAATGAGGTTGACCAGAGGTCGAGCAACTGCTTATTTAATTAATTATACCTGCGATGTGTTTCAAGGGTTCCGATCTGTTTGCTTCTCAAGCGGCGCTCTCCTCAAAACTACCAGGCGCCATCCGATCCCATGAGACTGTATATAACAATGCCCAGTACAACTTGCATCTGAGAACCTTCATCAACCCCAAGCCTTTTATCTACACCTACCACATATTCATTTCCATTTCCATTTCGTACATCACCATCCAGTGTCATTTTCCTTTTACTCAAATCACTACTTTCTTCAATATCATCAAGTATCATCGAGCACAGCTGTGTTGAAACCATGTCCCGTCATACCATGCCTCTCCCTCGCATCCCAGACCTGAGTCTCCCGTCTTTTCGAGAGCTCGACGAGTCTATCGAAGCCAACAGGCGCAACCAACCCAGCTCGCATCTTTCTAACGATACGTGTTATCGAACGGAAAACAGTTCCTCGTCTTCGCCACAAAATATCAATACCATTCCCAACCCGTACCCACCCTATCCTGCTAATGGATGGCTTGTCCCACCTGACCCCAGCCAGAATGTTTGTATTTATCCATCTATCCCTTGTGATATTAAGCTAAAATTTAGTTAGGCTTTCCGAGAGCCTGGATTTACCTACCAAGATGTGCGTGCAGAATGATACATATATACGAGAAAGAGAGTATTGTAAACAGCTGACATCCAAACAGCAGGGCTCTGCCGGGGTGTTTCAACCTAGTGTGAACGTGGAAAGAGGTAAGGAAGAGAAAACAAGAACCTGCATCTCAGGCCAAAAGTACAACTTACAAGGCCATTCCACAGAGACAAATCCCGCCCCTCAACTCTCCCTGCGCCTGAGGGAGCCTCAGCCACCACCAAGCCCCACGCAGTCGACTTTGAGCTCTGCGCAGACGACACTCCGCGGGCCGCTTTCTCCAAGCACCCCGATATCATCAACCCCGGAGAAGATTTTCCCCAATCAGACTCGACAAATCTTAACAAACAGGCAGCCACCTAACGAGCAGGTCCGCCGCCAAAGGGTGAACCGCGATGCAGTCGCCAACCACCGAGCCCAGAGACGGCGAGTTGGCGTTCATTTCTCTGAGGTGGCGGCACACACCGCAAAATGCGATGTATGCAACAAGCGCAACAAGAACGGCATGGCTCGTTGCCAGAACTGCGGATGGCAAATCTGTCGCAAGTGTCTGACTGATCGAACCGGAGACCGAACACACGCTTCCTTTGGAGCGACTCATGTCCCCGAGGGCGGCGGCGTTATGCCAGTATCTTTGCCATCTGTGGATGGAAATCAAGACCGCCGATCCTCCCAGTCAGTGGCAGATATGGCGGCTGCGCAAACCCTGCTGGAGCTTGTATCTTTCCGCAAAGGAACTGGAACTCCTGGTAGCACCGGCGAGGTGGGAAGTAAAGCAGACAGACAGAAAGTGGCTGCACATGGCCTACTTTTGCAGCGGCAGGTTGATGCTTTGTCCACTGATTCTGATATTACATTGCCGGTTGTTGGAGATGAGGAGTGGCCTCAGGATGAGTCTGATATTCTCATCGGCGAGGACGGCCTTCCCCTTGGGTACGTGATAACACGGCGCAACCCTGCGCGTGCTGCGAGACCTTCTACGAAGATGGCGGAGTAAGTGATGTGGATTTGACGAAGCAAAGAGAGCAAGAAAGTATCACTGAGATCTGGAAACTGAATGTAAGAAAATGGTGGAAGACAAGTGTGAGAGCATGGAAATGAGGACAAAGGGCGAAAGGAAACCCCCCCTTCCCCCGGGGATTGGCGCGCCTTGGGAATATCAATTTGGATTTAGGTAAATCAACTAATAAACCTCGTGTAAGTTTCGAAATGTGTTTTTACAATGAGTAGTAATGCTAGATAGTTATACAATAAGACTCGAGAATTGCTCGAGTCAACAGATGAATGGAGATGGTATCAATGACCAGGGCGATTGATTAACAGAATCAATCCTGGTCGACGTATTCATACACTAGAGAGGCAAGGGTATTAGACTCTCTTCACAGCAGAGGCAGCAGTGCTAGAGAGCTGCTGGGACCGAACTTTCACAGCCATCTGCAACAGCTTGGCTGTACGCGACGGGTGCCAGACTCGGCTGCCCAAGATCATGACCCAAGTCAGGAGGAACAAGCTGCCAGCCTGGTGGGCGGATGCAAGGGGAGTGGGGACGAGGTAGAGAAGAGTAGTAATTCCGAGTCCGACTTGGCAACAGGCGAACGCGAACACACCGTGGACGCCCTTTCTAGCAGGTGCGGGCAGAAAGCGCTTCATCGTGGGCGAGCGGCGGGTGTAAGCCATCAAAGCGCAAATGACGGTGAAGGTGGTCACCGCAAGGACACGGTGGTCAAGCTGGACAAGAGAGGGATTCTCGAGCATGTTGCGCCACCAAAGATCGGATCGGTCCTCGTGGCGGGAGTAGCGGGCATCGAACAGCTCCTCCTTTGGAGGTGCGAGTCCTTTGCCCATCCATGGGAATTCGTTGTAGATAAGTCCAGCATCAAGACCAGCGACAAGACCGCCGGAAATGACAGTTGTGAAGACCAAGAGAGCGATACCAGCGACTGAGCGGCGGAAGAAGGCCAGCTTCGGGTCGCGCAGCGCATTCAGCTGGTTGATTCCAGCTGCGGGGTCAGCCATCAACCGGTGGGACCGCATAATAGCAAGACCGTTCCACAACATCGCGACGTAGCAAACGAAAGCAGCACCCAAGTGAGCAGTCAGACGGTACTGGCTCACTCGTGGGTGACTGCCCGGGGCAAAGAGATCATCCTTCAAGCCAGACTTGACCATCCACCAGCCAAGGAAGCCCTGGAAACCAATAAGACCGGCAATTCCGAAGAGACGCCACGCCATCGGCGTGGAGACCTTCTTTCGGGCAACGAAGTAGACTGCAGGCAGTACAAACGAGATTCCGACAAACCGGCCCCAGAGCCGGTGAATCCATTCCATATAGTAGATCGATTTGAACTCGGAAAGAGTCATGTTCGGGTTAAGCAATTGAAATTCGGGGGAGGCGCGGTATTTCGAAAACTCATCCTCCCAATGTTCCGCATTCATTGGGGGGATGGAGCCAGTAACGGGTCGCCATTCAGTGATGCTCAATCTGTGCCAAAATTTGTCCCGTTAGCATTGGAAGCTCAATTTTCGTGAAAAACCAAGCATTCCAGACCACGTACCCTGATTCTGTCAACCGTGTCAGACCACCGAAGACCACAATTCCAAAAACACTGGCTGCGCTGCCTAGAAGCCAGTAGCCAACGGCCTTGTCGCTAATTTTGGGGAAGCTCGATTTGCCTTTCGCGGCGCCCTCCTCGACTGCCTCTGCGACGGCCGGTGCGGTATTTGAACGCTTGAGACTGGAGGTGAAGAATTCACGGTTCTTATTGTTCAGAATGGTGGATTTGGTGGGTTGACGGAACTGGAGGGCTCCGAATTGGCGGATTGATTTGGCTGCGTAGCCCTGACTTGGGAGGGATTGAGATGTGAAAAAGTCCTTGGCCAAACGAGGCGCAACACTCCGCCATAACGACAGAGAGCTCCTCAGAGAAGCCATGGTTAAGACAGATGAGTGAAAGAAGAAAGCTGTGGGAGTTCGGGGATTGTACGATGTCGCGAAATGCCTTGGCCAATCAGCTGTGGAGCATTTGTCGGAGTGGCATAGTACTGTCAACAGTACACAATAATTGACGTGTGGAATTAAATTAATAAGAGAATACTAATATCTATAACTACTGTTCAAATCATAATTGGCCTTGACTATGCATGTCCGGACCCAATATTGATGTTGATGCCTCAGGCGGCTACGCCTCGGGCGTTGTGATCGCCGCAGCTCCAACCGTCAGCATTGTATTGATCCGCATCACTTGACTTTCTTCCCAGCGCAGCGACAACATGTCCTACGCTCTGGAATCTAAGAAGCGAAAGTTTCACCGTGTTCTCGAATCAATATCCAAGCCTCTTACCCCCGAAAATGCGCCCAAGGCAGCCCCTGCGGCGCCGACGACGGTACAAGACCGTATCTCCGCCAACTTATCCATCAAAAAAGTGCGCTTGGCCAGTGCCGACCGTTCGGAGCTCACAGCGGTACGCAACTCAATCAACAAGATCTCCCGACCAGGGCACCGAATTACGTCCGCAAATTCGAATAAGCGCCCGACCTTTGTTCCTTGGGACCGCGAACGTTTTCTCGAGCGGTTAGAGACCTTCCGCCGTGTCGATCGATGGACGTCAAAGCCGTCTCCGATCAATGAAGTACAATGGGCGAAGCGTGGTTGGATATGTACGGACGTCATGCGCGTCACCTGTGTGAGTGATTGTGGCGGCGCAGTCGTTGTGAAGCTTCCCGATGAAATCGATGAGCTCGATGGTTTCAACATTGAGAAGGTGGAGGAGCGCAAGGAAGTCCGTGAGTAATCCGACGTATTGCTGGTCCAGCGGAACGGGGTTATATGCTAACCTACATACCTGTAGGCGCGAGGCTAGTTGACGAATATGCGAAAATGCTAAGTAATGCTCATGGTGAAAACTGCCCATGGCGAATCAAGAGCTGTGATGGTGAGTCTGAATAGGACACTGAGAAAATTGTCCCATGACTAACATGGAATTAGCAACTATCCAACATCTTCCTTTGACAAATTGTGACTCCGCCTTATTGGGTCTTCACAAACGATATACAAACATCTCGGAAATGGGCGAAAAATTACCAGCCGATGATATCATCCAGATCCCAGAAGGGCTTGATCTTGATGTCATTATCAAAGGACTTCCCGAAGAATGGTTCAAGGAGGCCGAGAAACCTGCTGTATCCACCGACGGAGAGACTCAGCCTACAACCGCCGACAACCAAGACTCAACAAAAACACACAAACACGTTAATCGAGCTGCGCTGGCGCTAGCATTGCTCGGCTGGGATACTGCCTCTGATGGAGCTGCGGGGTTAGTTGGATGTGGTGCGTGTTTCCGTCGCCTGGGGTTATGGATGTACAAACCCAAAGACAATGGAGATGTGACCGTCTACACTTCCCTCGATGTGGCCGATGAGCACATGGAGTACTGTCCCTGGATTGACAAGGTAGCCCAAAGTGGCACTGGGCGGCCCAACGAGAAGTTGGCGGAACTACGCGCTGGGTGGCAGATGGTCGCGGAGGCCGTGAAGGTCAAACACCGTCGTAGACTTCGCACTATGGCGTCCGCCGATACATTGCGGACGGACCCAGAAACACCAACCGAGGCCACAGGGGAAGAAGAAAACGCGGATGCGAAAAAGAAAGCAGACCGCGAGTGGTGGGCAAAGATTCGACGAGTGAGACAGGTTTTGACGGCCAAGTCGCCAAAACGAAAGCCTGTCTTACCTCAATGATCTTGCATGCTGATCTTCATTTCTGTTCAATATTACATTAATTGGGAGCGCGGGTTTTATTCAGAGGGTCAAAGTGCATCTTTCAGCGGCTTGTGTTTTTTAGTTAGCTTCGATTTATGGCCATTGCGAGACACGACACTTCGCAATGATGAAAATACATCTATCTCATATTCATCTCTAGACACTGTAATCTAATTCATCGAAAGTTTGTAGACAGCCTGAGATGAATGGGAGTTAGGGTTGGTTTGGGACGCTCTGATTGGCCGAGATCCGGAGCTCGTTGACCTTCGGACACCAGCCATTGCTCTGATATAACTCTGACTTGCACAACTCCGGAGCCAATATTTATTTGAAATCAGTCTAAAATTCTTTATTTCTTCCAAGGTTATCCTAATTTCGAAATACACCTTTCATTCCTCGCCAGATCCCCGCGACTATTGTTCTGCCAAATCAATTTTTCGAACAGTTTATAAGTCACGCACGTCGCCATGGATCACCACAACGGAGACGGAGCCCACGATGGGGCTCCTGGGCGCTCAACCCCCCGCTCGCCTGCCCGCACGAATACCACATACCCTCCAACGGATACCGGCAGACACAGGAGTATAGAAGGAGATGGTGGAGCAGATGGATCGAACAATTTATCAAGTGCTGCATCCAAGCGCAAGAGACTCCAGGAGAGGCACCAGGCCCTCCGAAAACGGGGCCGAACTCCGCCGTCAGTATTCTCGCGACGTAATCGCTCCCGTAGCCCAGGTGGCGCCCAACCACGCGAAGACCGACGTTCTCGATCGCCACTACAGCCGCGCCGCTCTCCTTCGCCCGATGCACCACGTCAACGCAAGAGACCTGGAGGCGGAGCGCGACAGGGGCTCCTAGACCGTGAAACACTACGACGCAAGCAGGAGGAGCGTGAACGTGCAGAGCAGGATGAGGCTATGCGCAACTCTCAACAGCGCGGCGTCTCGGACGTGGTCCGACAACACTACAATGCGGTTCCCGAGAGAGGCCGTGAGTGGCGGAAGACAGAGAGCAAAATCAAGGGGCTACGAAGTTTCAACAACTGGGTGAAGAGTACTCTGATTCAGAAGTTCTCTCCCGATGAGAACTTTGTTGCGCGATTCGAGGATAGCAAGGACTGGGCGGACGACAGCCAAGGGCCGCCGCCCCCCGCTGATCAAAAGCTTCTCGTACTGGATCTGGGCTGTGGTAAGGGTGGCGATCTAGGCAAATGGCAGCTGGCGCCCCAGCCGGTTGACCTATATGTCGGCCTTGACCCTGCCAACATCTCGATTGAGCAGGCACGGGGTCGGTACGATCAAATGCGCACAGGCCGCGGCCAGCGAGGCCGTCGACCACCCCAGCCGATTTTCCATGCCGAGTTCTATCCGAAAGACTGCTTTGGCGAGTGGCTGGGCAATATCGACATCATCCAGCGTGTTGGTATCGATGCCAATGCCGGCCCCGGTGGATCGATCATGGCCTCTCGCTACGGAGGTGGCGGCTTTGACATCGTCACATGTATGTTTGCCATTCACTATGCCTTTGAGACCGAGGAGAAAACGCGCCAAATGCTCAGCAATGTCGCGGGCTCCTTGAAGAAAGGCGGTCGCTTCATTGGTGTCTGCCCCAACTCAGACGTGATTAGCAGCCGCGTGTCTGCCTTCCATAAGGAGCGCAAGGAGCGCGAGGCTGCCAAACCTGCTGAGCCGGAAGGCCCCGAGGATGGCGAAGTCGAGGAGGATGAGCGGGCCCAGTGGGGCAACGATATCTACCGTGTTCAGTTCCCTGGTCCAACCCCCGAGGATGGAATATTCCGACCGCCTTTTGGGTGGAAGTACAGTTACTTCATGAAGGAAGCAGTGGAAGAGGTTCCCGAATACGTCGTTCCATGGGAAGCTTTCCGAGCGTGAGTGTCGGCCATAATCATGTTCTACCATATATAACTAACTTTTTACCCAGCCTGACCGAAGATTACAACCTGGAGCTACAATACCGCAAGCCATTTTTGGATATCTGGGAGGATGAGAAGAACCACCCTGAGCTGGGCCCTCTCAGTGAGCGGATGGGCGTAAGAGACCGCGTGACTGGTGCTTTGAATATGACAGAGGAAGAGAAGGAGGCAGTCAGTGAGTAATCCCCACATGTGCATTGCATTTCTCGGCCACTAACAGATGATATCGCTAGGCTTCTACCATGCATACTGCTTCTACAAGGTATAGGCTATCATGCATACTTCGAATATTGCATTGACCCTACGTGTAAACTCTTTCTCGCTCAGCATTTTTATTCTCAATTTCAAAGAATCATCTTAGATCTCAACCAGAGTTTGCAACAGGACCTATATGACATAAATCACCGTGACGATTATAGTCCCCAAACAACCCATCCACAGGCACATCCAATTCCTTCAACAGAAACTGTAGTTGCCCTTCTTAATCTATAAGCCTATTGTTCCCAAATCTTCTCTTATCTACTATAAATCCTGCTGCTGAATCCCCACCACATTCCCATCAGGATCCGTAATCATCCAAAGCATCTCAAAACAAATCAGCCCCTGCGCCTGTCCTCCGCGTTTCAAGATACGCCTGCGCTTCCACAACATCAAGAACAACAAGGCCAACATGTTCAAAGGTATTAGCTTTTTCGGTCGATGCGATAAGCCGGTCATCCAAGACATTGAACTGCACCAGTTTCAGGAGCCCGTACATATTGTTCTTGGCTGCTGCCATCTCAGCGCCCGTTTGGAGACCGGTGCCATTTTGTCCGCCTTGTGCGTACCCCATGCAGTTTACTATGTACTCGGGGATTGCTTGTGCACCGAAGATCTTTCACATACCGAGGATATTGCCGTAGAAACCTTTCATGGCTGAGAGGTTGGTGGTCAATAGGCCGATGTGCCTTAGGGCGAAGCCTTTTGTTGCTTCTGGGACTGGACCGTCGGTGCCTATTGTGAAGGGGTTTGATTATTGGCATCGCGGCTGGATGGGTTGCATGTTTTGGCTGGGTTGATTGCGAGGGAAAATAAAATAGCAAAGAGGTTTCTGATATGCATATTTTAGGTAATTGGGTTTTGTAGGAGTAGTCTTTAGATCAAAGATGGAGATAGAAATGGCTCTAGTTCGAGATATTTCCCTAGGTATTTCTATCTACGGAGGGAATCATAAATGGCTGCCAACTTCGATATTGCTTGTACAAACATGCAGCTATCTGAAAACACTATAGATTCTGCGTACCTGGTCGTAGTGGGGACTGCGTGCAAGACTAGCTTTATATGGTGAAACCTGGCGACATACTGAGACCCAAGCTCAGTGTCTAATATTGCATCGTGAATCCTATGTCTTGTCCATTTCCGGGGTTTTAGGGTTGATTGTGGGGTATGATCGATGCGGGGTGATCAGCCATTGGGGTTTCTTGGTAGCATATATATCCGTGGACCATCAGACGACATATCGCTGCATCAGGTTGTCATGCTGTCATGTTATAGTTTACTGTAAATGCAGATCAGTGCTCAACTCGGATGTATACGGACGCCAAGCCATCCGCGTTTTTGATATGGTAGTTGGATTGGTGCGTGAAGATAATTGCAACTGTCGTCCGATTGGGACGGGTTTCAGAGAAAATACGAGATTATGCAGATTTTTGACACAAGGAACCCTTGTCGCTGGTAGGTCGGTTCCTATAGTTAAGGCGTCCTAATCCGACTTTACTCGGAGTAAGTACACTAAACTAAATATAGGATTGACAATGCAGGGTTTCATCCATCGCAGATTACATCGCACAGCCCTCGCACATGAGTTGGTGTCAAGGAACTCCGGTGCATTACTTCAGCTAAATGGTTATACCGAGTTTTATTACTGGAGTATCACAAAATAGTATCGGTATATACTTCGATCTTCCCGACGGACTACATTGTAACGTGAATGGGGTTGTCACACGAACGATATGTTTCAAATCAATAAGTTGACATAGATTCCTTCTAGAGTATTTGAAACTCGCTAGTTGAAAAAATGTCAACGGTGAGGGTCGTGTAGGACAGTGTTTTGGCAGCTATAAGAATAGCGGCGACTTCTAGCCAAGATTTGTTTTGCAAGATTGTATTTAGCTATCGAGGATAAATAATCCGAACTACAGAATAAAAGCGTTGTTGGTATATCTTGGTATTATATGCTTGAGATAAACATGAACGTGCTCCTAAATAGAATCGACTTACATACTCCCAATGCCAAGGCCCACTCCATATTGATAAGGCTTATCGCTGATATCTATAACCCCAAACGGGACTAGCGTCATCGCGTCTCGCGTCAGGATTTCGAGATGCGCTTTGTTAGACTTTCTTTGTAAACGCCTTGGGAGCCCTGTATTCGAATCATATCATAAACCCCCCAGTAACCCAGATATCCCCAACTCACCCTCTAAAAGAGTTTCCCCCAACAACAATGTCGGCAACACCAAGCCGACGGCAGTCATCTCAGGCCCATCCACAATCAGCACAATCACGCAGACGAACCGCAACCCACACCTCAATCTCAGAGGCAACACCCCTACCAGAATATCAGACCCCTGTGGCCCCCCTCACAGCAGAAAGCCAGCGCCAAATCGCTTCCCTCCTCGCATCACACCACCTCCGCAACCTCCGCACCCATCTCCAACATGCCGCCGAGAAACTTGCACACTCCGGCGGTGAAGTAAATGAACGGCTCATTGATGCCCGGATTCGGTACGAAAAAAACAAGGAGGCGCGCCGACGTCAAGGCGACGAGAATGTCGACGACGACGAGAGCAATAAAGAGTACCAGCGGCTTGCTGAGGCCGAGGCTCGAGTCGATGCAGTCACTGCGCAGATGGAGGAGAAGACACGACTGATTGTCGATTCAGAAATCAAGCTCCAGGGGCTGACAGATGCGATGGGTCAAATTGAAAGGGAGGAGGGTGAGAATGTCGCTACTGCTTTGGGAGTAAGGCAGACTCGTCAACAGCGGGCAAGGCAGAGGGCCAATGAGGACGATGATGCCGATGGGACTGAAGATCCCACGGATGGTGATTATGAAGATGCGCAGGAGAGAGAGATGCGGGAGCGCAATGTAGCGAACCCGCCCAGTCGCAAGCTGGCTGATAAATTGAGCGAAGGCGCTCAGAAATGGGATGAGCTTTCTTTGACAGAGAGGTATGGGGTTTGCTCCTGGTTATATTCGTGGCATACTCGAAAGCGCAGAAACTGACAACTACGATCTAGATATGCCCGCAATAACTCCTACATCGGCTTCTACCGAATGGTTCACGACGCCAAGTTCCCCGGTGACGACGTCCCGCCGTTACCCCACTCATCTACATGGTTCGAGCATATGGAAGATACGAATGCGCGACCTGGAGGACCGGCACGCACGCGCAACCAGCACCGTGGCGTATCGCCCGCCGACTCTGACGATGACATTGCTATTGAGCGCGAGCGCATCTCCCTCAAATGCCCGTTGACTCTCACGCCTTATCAGAATCCCGTGACGAGCACCAAATGTCCCCACAGCTTCGAGCGGGAGGCTATTATGGATATGATCAACCGCAGCCAGACGACTATTGCGCCTCCGGCATCTCGTCGGGGCCAGCGCCGCGTCCATGTGGTGAAATGTCCTGTTTGTTCGACTCCATTGACCGCGGACGATTTGCGGCCAGATGCCGTGCTACTACGTCGTGTTCGCCGTGCACAAGAGCTCCAGCAGCGCGAGGAAGAGGATGATCACCTCGAAGGGGATGGGAGAAAACTGAAGGATCGAAATATCGGCATTACCTTGGGTAGTGACGGGGAAAGCGATGACGAGGCTATGGATGTCGATGCCCACCCTGCCTCACAGCGCGTCAAAATGGAGCCGCTCAGTCAGCCTGCTAGGGCCGCTCAATCCGATGAGTCGAGCGACGATGCGGAGATTGAGGATGGGGAGAATGCGGAAGAGGAGAGTGACGAGGGGAATAATGAAGAAGGGGATGGAGAGGCGGAGATTGAAAACCCAAACGAAGAAGTGGCCATTGATGAGCCCGACGATGAAGAAGCGGAGAATGAAGATGGTAAGATTGAACCAGCGCAGAATGAGGAAGAGCAGAATGAAGAGATGGACACTAACGAATCTGAAAATGAAGTGGATATTGAAGAGCCGGACAATGAAGCAGTGGCAACCGAACCGGATGACGTGGAGTATGGGGATGTGGAGAGCGAGAAAGGGCCAAACGAAGCTGCGGATTCTCCAGACGTGCAACCAGCGAATGCGCCACGTGAGAGTCAAGAGAGTGACAGCGACAGTGAGGATAGTGAAGGTAGTGATAGTGAAGGTAGTGATAGTGAAGACAGTGGAGAGAGTGATATTGAACCCAAAGTCGAGAGTGGGTCCAAGGAATGAGGTGGAAAGCCATTGATCTGCATGATACCGTCCATTTTGAGCGTTTTTAAATGAAGTTCCCTTCCCTCCAGCCGAAATGAAACGTTTCAAATCGGACTTTTGTTTTTAAGATCCTTCCTATGACTCCATGAAGTAACTGTCTCTAGAGATTGAATGCCTTACAGATCTCAGAGCCATGGCCATTAAAATTCCGAAACGATAACGCTAATCTCGTGTCTCCCCCGCAGTTCCAACGGAATGGGCTGTGGGACCCGAACCAATCAACGCACAGTATACCCGCTTCTAGACTAGTTCCCTCGTTCTCTCCTTATACGCCAGACACGAGAATATATTTTTCTTTTATCAGGATGCGACTCTAATCCTCGATCTTTAACTTTATTTGCCGGAACCCAAGGAAAGCCCCATCGTAACCTTGATGACCCAATACTACATCTCTAACCCCAGCAATTCTCACGCGACCCCCGGCCCACAAAGAAACAGTGCCATCACGGTGTAACACTGCTATCAAAGCGCACCGGCCCCCAATCACCTAGACCCCAAATAGAAACATCCCCCGGCCAATTGTATTTACCACCTGTATCTAAGTCTGTCCCTTTTTTTTTTTAAGGCTAGCCGAGTAGCTCCAGCCCGTGATCAAACCCAATGCTACCCTGCTACGAGTCTATTGATACATCTATCTCCATATTGCAATTTGAACCTAGCGCGTTCCCTCGCCTATATCCTCATTAAGCAGGGGTACATCGTACAAGCTTGCTATCTATTAATTTTTTGGTTTAAAGATCTCCATGTCTCCTTTTTAATCTTCCCTCCCCCACACCTCTTACCAACCCATTTTATCTATTCTTCTACGGTGTCCCTCATTCGTAATGGATGAACGGAAAACTCCCGTCGAATACACCTCCGAGCCAGTCCCCCGACCTGCAGGATGGATGTACAAAGACGCCAAATTCGGCAAATTCTCAACGAGCTGGTATGCCTCCCCACGCATCCAGCTGGGTATGGTCGCCTTTGTCTGCTTCCTCTGCCCAGGCATGTTTAACGCCCTGAGTGGAATGGGTGGTGGTGGAAAGTCCGACCCTAGCTTGGCTGATAAAATGGTACGATGGAACATGGGACCTCGGTTTCGTTCCCCACTCTTCTCACATCTGATACTTCGAAACTCCGATTGGCCGTTTTTTTCCCCATATACTCACTCTTAACAATAACAGAATATCGCCTTGAACAGTACTTTCGCTGTCGTCGGTTTCTTCGCGGGAACGGTCGTTAACCGTATCGGCGTCCGTCTGTCTCTCTCCTTCGGTGGAGTCGGTTATTGCATTTACTCTATTAGTCTGCTCGTCTCCGAGCATGCATATGTCCCCGGTTTCAATATCTTCGCCGGCGCTTTCCTCGGTGTCTGCGCCGGTCTCCTCTGGGCCGCCCAGGGAACTATCATGATGTCCTACCCGATCGAACAGCAAAAGGGTCGCTACTTTTCTTGGTTCTGGGGTATTTTCAATGTCGGCGCCTGTATTGGTAGTTTGGTAAGTCCAGCCCGGTGATCTTCTCTGACTCTTAAGAGTCACAATTGAAATCACCAACTAACAGGACAATCTATAGATTCCCCTGGGCCAAAACATCCATGTCAAGGAGAACAAGACCGTCGGCGACGGTACCTATATCGCCTTCATCATCCTCATGTTTGCAGGTGCCGTTCTCGCCCTCTTTATCTGCGACGCAGACAAAGTCATCCGTCGCGATGGCTCCCGCGTCATCCTCATGAAGAACCCCTCGTGGAAATCCGAGATCGTCGGTCTGTGGGATACAGTCCGCTCCGAGCCATGGATCATCCTCCTCTTCCCCATGTTCTGGTCCTCCAACTGGTTCTACACATACCAACAGAACGCCATCAACGGCGCTTACTTCAACACCCGCACCAAGGCGCTGAACGGCTTCCTGTACTGGTTTGCGCAGATCGTCGCCGCTGTCATCATGGGTCCTTTGCTCGATACCGAGCGTGTTCGTCGCTCCCTTCGTGCTAAGATCGCCTTGGTCGTGCTTTTCGTCCTCACCGTCGTTATCTGGGGTGGTGGCTATGCTTGGCAGGTGCGGTATACCCGTGAGGATGTGGATCCCAAGACTACGGGTTTCAAGGGCTGGGATTGGACGACACCCGGCTACGAAGGTCCCATGTTCCTCTACTTCTTCTACGGCATGTACGATGCTGCTTGGCAGGGTCTGGTTTACTGGTAAGACTTCTTCTTCTCTTCTTCCCTACTGTACCGAACTGACATCGTTCTAGGATCATGGGTGCTCTCGGTAACTCCGGCCGTAAGCTCGCCAATTTGGCAGGCTTCTACAAGGGATTGCAATCCGCCGGCGCCGCCGTTATGTGGTCATTGGATGAGCGCAAGATCCCCTTCATGAACGAATATGCCTCGAACTTCGGTCTGCTGTGCGGCTCGATCCTCATCGCTGTCCCGGTCGTCTTTTTCAAGATCAAGGATACTGTCCCCGTAGAGGACGAGCTTGCGGGTACTGGCGAGACGCTGGAGGACGTGCTCCCTCCCGGCGCTATTGAGCCTAAGCATGTTGGGGATGAGAAGATCTAATCAGAACTAATATGAACTCGAAGAGAATTGGATGGAATGTGATCTCTTTTTTTCTCTTTTCGTTTTTGCGATGGGCGTTTTGTTCCTGTGGAAGTGCGCCGAGGTCTGGACTTGAGTCTGGGTTTGGGACTGGGTGATATTTTATTTTATGTGTGATTCCCGACTATCTGGCTCGCATTTGCTAGTGGTGTACTTTGGGTCTCTATTTTTATGAAGTCAGTTTTAATGGTGGATTGTTTTCACTTTCATGATGGGATGTGGATTCCTGTGTTTCTATTCTACATGGCTTGCTTTCTGCCGCCTTGCCATTAGAATGGGGTTAGTCATATAAACAATGGAAAGACTTTACTATGTCTACAGTGCTTCCTGTAAATGGTGTCACCCTACACTTGATTGTCTCTCGAACCCTGATTGCCAAGACAGGCTAGTCTATGGTATCCCAGTCATGGGGCCTGTATTGTTTCGTACACAGAATAACTAGGGCGCATGCGGGTGTATGCACTTGTACTCTTGACACTGATACCTCGATACCCCACTTCGAAAATCATCCTTGGTGCATGCTAATGTCTAATAACGACCATTGGCCGCAGTAGGACAGCGCCTATCAAAGCGCTTTAGAGCACAACCATATGCACCTGCACCGCCTTGCCTAGCACCAACACCACCCTTGGTGTGCTGTTGCTACTGCTCAAAAGTTTCAATCCGAGCCAACACAACTACTCTAGTTTCTCCTACGCCCGCGGTGGTTGGCGGGTAGACAGTGCTTGTTACGGCGTATATAGGCGGTCGAATTCCACCATCTCACAAGCAGTCTTGCGGTCTCGCGGACTGCGCTTGGTCACATAGGGAGAGAGCATCGGGTCCGGCTGAAACATAGTATTTATTTTATATAAATGTTGCATTATCGTGTGATCTTAATTGAGTATAAACCGCTGCGATGACGCATTGTATCTTGCGTGTTGTCATGATTTTAACTAGCTACCCCGAATCCGCGAAGTGAGGAGATTGATGAGAAAGGGTTGAGGCTAGGCAAGAAGCGGACACCATAAAGAAGGCTACTGAACAGATCATAGGACTTAATCAGAGCATACAAATTCCATCAGACGAGGTTTCTTCGCCGGCATGGTTGGTGTCCTAGAGCTGGGCCGCTTTGAAGACGGTGGAATCGCACCCGTTGATTGGAGCATATCGACAATGTCTCGGTGGCCTTTAATCAAGGCGGCCTGGAGAGCGTTGCCGTAGTGGCCACCCTGCGCGTTAACATCCGCTCCGTTGTCTAAGAGAAGTTTGATAATGTCCCGATAGCCTTGATGTGAGGCGGCCTGGAGAGCGTTGCCGTAAATTCCGCCCTGCGCGTTGATATCCGCTCCTTTGTCTAAGAGAAGTTTGACCATGTCTCGGTGGCCTTTAATCAAGGCGGCCTGGAGAGCGTTACCGTACTGGCCACCCTGCGCGTTGACATCCGCTCCGTTATCTAAGAGAAGTTTGACCATGTCTTGATAGCCTTGAAGTGAGGCGGCCTGGAGAGCGTTGCCGTAAATGCCGCCCTGCGCGTTGATATCCGCTCCTTTGTCTAAGAGAAGTTTGATAATGTCTCGGTGGCCTATAATCAAGGCGGCCTCGAGAGCGTTGCCGTAAAAGTCGCCCTGCGCGTTGATATCCGCTCCTTTGTCTAAGAGAAGTTTGACAATGTCTTGATAGCCTTGACGTGAGGCGGCCTGGAGAGCGTTGCCGTAGTGGCCACCCTGCGCGTTGACATCCGCTCCGTTGTCTAAGAGAAGTTTGACCATGTCTTGATCGCCTTCACTCGAGGTGGCCTGGAGAGCGTTACCGTACTCGCCACCCTGCGCGTTGACATCCGCTCCGTTGTCTAAGAGAAGTTTGATAATGTCTCGGTGGCCTTTAATCAAGGCGGCCTGGAGAGCGTTGCCGTAGTGGCCACCCTGCGCGTTGACATCCGCTCCGTTATCTAAGAGAAGTTTGATAATGTCCTGATAGCCTTGATGTGAGGCGGCCTGGAGAGCGTTGCCGTAAATTCCGCCCTGCGCGTTGATATCCGCTCCGTTGTCTAAGAGAAGTTTGACAATGTCTTGATAGCCTTGACGTGAGGCGGCCTGTAGAGCGTTGCCGTAAAAACCGCCCTGCGCGTTGATATCCGCTCCTTTGTCTAAGAGAAGTTTGATAATGTCTCGGTGGCCTCGAAGCGAGGCAGCCTGGAGAGCGTTACCGTCCTCGCCACCCTGCGCGTTGATATCCGCTCCGTTATCTAAGAGAAGTTTGACCATGTCTTGATAGCCTTGAAGTGAGGCGGCCTGGAGAGCGTTGCCGTAGTGGCCACCCTGCGCGTTGACATCCGCTCCGTTGCTAATTAACTCTTGTGCTGCGATAACGAGCCCAAAGAAAGAAGCATAGTATAGCCTGGACCCTTCCGGAGGACCAGGGTGGTTGACCCAACTCCTATCAGCCTGATATAAACGACCCCAACGCTGGAATGTTGCGTCCCTTTCTAGGAATCTGACTGTCATACGAACTATATCTTCGGACGCCTGAGCCAATGAAACATGGCCTGTCAAAAGTTCCGCCGCAGACCTTGCTAGCGGGAAATGCTGCGTAATCTCTTTATTGCTGCCCGTGATATCGGTAAGATAAGTCAGACACGTCCTCGTGATGGAAACACTGGCAGTCGTATCGTTGAATTGATTTTCCTTGAGAAGATACTCTTTAACGGAAAAGTGGGTAAGGTGTAGCACTTTTCTGGGATCGTGAACGATTGTTACTAAGCCAGGACAGTAATCCATAATATCATTCTCGTGAAATAGTCGACGCTTAATGTCAAATCCTTGCGACTCATTTTCGGTCTGAGTCGCTATTATTTCTATAGCGGCGGCTAGCTTTAGAGGTCGCTTAGAGTGCACTAAGAATTGCAGGAGCCGTATCGCGTCACTTTTTAGCTCGTCCGGTATGTTTGCGATCATGCGCCGGTATGTCTCATTTAGATTTTCTGGTAAAGACACGAGAGCCTTCTTCATAGCTACCTCGTGACGACATCGAGCTAAGCTGTCTAATTGACAGAACGCCCACCGGAACCTAAGCACGTTAGTAAATCATCAGAATTTCGATAGATATAGTGATATCTTACATCCCTTCAGCCCCATCGCCAACCTTCCTCCGGATCTCCTCGAGAAGATTCTGGGATAACTGCTTCTCCATAAATTCTCGCCGTTGAGAAAGCTGGGCTGTTACCCACGATTGGATATCAGAGTTAACAGCCTGATTCCTAAGTGGTAGGCAGTTTTCCTCTCCTATTAAAGGAGGAATATAGCGCTGAAACTCGGACTCGGGTCGGCTGGTATAGAAAAGCTGGATGTGGAAGCAGTCTGGATTAGATAGCACGTCCCTGATCCACATAAGGACATCATCCCTTGTTGTTGATTCATCCAAGGCGTCCAGCACGATTAAACCCTTTCTCTGGGCTGCGAACATCTTAGAAATAATACCCGAGAGCGCCTTTGTCGTAGGTTGGCGGCTGCCATTCTGGTGTGCTTCAAATGAGGCATTAAGATAAATAGCAGAGCCGACCCCACCTTCGTAAAGTTGGAAAGCGAGCGACCGCAGCATGCTATCCCATGTCTGCTTTGTGGAGTCACCAAAATCAAAGAAGAAGCTGAGGACTAGACCGTCGTTTCCATTCGTAAGGTGATCAAGCACAGTCGCACTAAGAACGGTCTTTCCACATCCCGCAAGCCCGTGTAACCATAAATGTCGACGCGAACCCGAGTACCACGACTTGAAGATAGGGTGTTCTAGGAGCCACACGCCTGTCCCTTCATGGCGAAGCGTCTTTGCGTGGTTAGCATTTATAGACGGATCCGGGGGACAAAGCCAGCGTCTGATCTTATCGGTATGGAGATCAGCCCTGATAGAATCAGTTATAGCTTTCGTCGCAACTGTCGTCTGCTGCACGCCGTCAATCTGTTGTTGAACTACTCGCAGTCAGGACGTGTGCCAATCTCAGATATGATATACTGTCGTGTATCTACTAGTGAAGCCAGTGAACGAAACAAAACTAACCTAGCTGAAGTACTTCCAGTGCCCTCTTGGTTTCTTGGACCTCCGCGGTCGGCACGTACTCCAGAAGCTCCTTGGTATACGCTGCGGCGGTCGCCGAGGCGTAGCGTTGCCATCGGTCGTTCTTGTGAGAATCGGCGTAGTCACAGATCCCTCGAATCACAAGACAGGGAAAGTGATTCATTAAGCCGGCTGCTTCCATTTCAAAGCAGATGCAATCCTCGCCGATGTCAGCACTAATACGATCGCGAGTAGCAGCGTCTTTAACGAGCGTGTTGCCGGATGCGATGATCCCATAGTGGATATCGGGGTCAGTAGAGTCTCGAGCATCGCGTTGAACCTTATTAGCCGTGTCGCAGTCTCGATAATCCGGGACAGGGATGTGATCGCATGAAGATTTAAAGAGGCGGTCGTTATCGAAACCCTGGTGAGTATAGCCGGGACTTTTCTTAGATCTCCTGCCCATCTTCGGATGCTTCTCCAGCATTTCTTGAAGGAAGTAGGGGATCTTAGAGTCTTTCCGCTCGTGGTAGGCTTGGATTCTGCTAAGCGCATTGAGAAGGACCGTCGGAGGACGTCCGAGGAAGCCTTTGCGCTCACGCTTATTATCAGACTTTGCCTTGATAAAGTCATACTGGCAAACCCCTCCTATTGTCCCAGAGGGCTGGCTCACGACAACATCACCTAGCCTGATATCGTGGTCCTCATCCGGTCGTGGAATGCCACCGCCTATGCCGACCAAAAGACCAATACGAATGGATGGCAGAGAGGCAAGTAGGCTCGAGGCCGTGGTCGCAGCTGAGGTGGTTCCATGGACTCCAGAAGTCAGACAGGTGATGACTATATTGTGGTTTCCCACGCGACCCCACGTGTAAACATTCGTGTCAGTTTGGTGTTTCGTGAAGCCGGTTGGTGCTGCATGTTCCTCATCCAACATCGCTTCTGCAGCGGCTCGCTCGATGTGAAGAGCAGTGATCCAGGCAATTTCATAGTAGTCGGGGCTATCGAGGGTGCTCAGGGATGCCATGATGCGAAAGGAAGCGCACTAGGCTACCGGATAGGAGGGTGTATCACTGTCCGTCAAGGGCGCAACCTTAATTGCTATGCAGGACTATCGCTATATCCTAACACCCTCTAGATGGATTTGTATCTCACTGTAGATGGATGGTGGTCAGCTGAAAAGACGAGGCCAGGCAAAATCAACAGGCCCTCGTCATTGAGACACGCATGTTGGGGGCCCTGAACTGGGCGCTTGCATACGGAGGTCTCTAGTTGGTTTGGGCGACATGATTGGGCGAGATGATTGGGCGACATTATTAGGCGCGGTCAATGCCAATAGATTACCTCTCACATTGCCAAGCCTTGTTTTGTCACAGAACAGGACGGAAGAGTGACGACCAAACGGGGCTGTGACCATGTGGCGAAGCATAAGGGAATGACTGGGATATCATCATGAAGGAGAGACACTTTGCCAGATTCTCTTACAACGTACCTCGTTATGTTTGACTTGTCTGCAATCCGAACCTCCGGGCGGCACCTAACTTTATGCCACGCTTGGCAAAGAATTCTGGGTCTTGATCTTCATGAGCCTGCATGAGATCCAAACAGTTTTTGAGGGCCACCGGGCTTTCCTGATGTTATCCCTGAAAGTCTTATCGTTCACCCGTGACTGCTGCCATTCGGTCACCTCAAGGTGGTGATACCAGTTACGGGACGTACTGTACACATGTGTGCTATTCGTAAATAAGTTGAAATGTTCCGTCGGTGCAAAGGTTCAGGTCTTCAAGTCTACTAGATCGGAGACATATTTAAAGGTCTTATTGTTGAAGAAAATAAAAAGAAATAGGCAAGTAAGCAATTTATCCACTGAGGATCCTACCTACTTAGCATATCTACCTCAAGCAGACATCGCGGCCCAGACCGCGTAAGTATGGCAGAGGCAAAGAACAAGAGCAGACAAGGGGGTATTCGCTTGTCGAAACGCAAAGAAAAAATAAAATGAGAGAATAAGCAAGGACTTGACAAAGACTATGTGTTGTATTCTGTTGTCATGCTGGCTTTTCACGGAGACACTCCGCCACGTATCCTCTCTCCGACATATTTCCATTTTCTCTTCGGGAATGGAAAAGAAATAGCACATGAGAATTCCGAACTGAACCAAATCTACCATGGGTAATTTGTCATAGGGAGTGATGGGTTGTGCGCTGCACACAGACCGTGGAGCATAAAGTATCTCGGGGTTGGATTGGTTGTTCCTCCGGACGCCGCGCTTCCCATGGATGTTAAAAATAGCAGACTGTGTCTAGTGATAGACTGTGTGGCGTGGTGATATTAAATCGCGTAACTGAGCAATAGGTCGATGCGATGTGTCGGAGAGCAATGTCAAAAAGAATGAAACCCGAAAATTCAGGCTTTCAAGTCGATAAAGCCAGTTTACTTGGTGAGGAGGTTGAGATAATCAGCCACGATGAGCGTTACCATCCTGCAGGAGTCAGTGGGGGTGTAAAATAAGGGTAAAATAGTGGGGTGACTCACGCATGAGGAGCGATCCGAATGTAGTAAGTTCCGAAGCCACGATAGAATCGCAACCAACCCTCTTCCTTGGCAACCTTGCGCGCACAATCAACCAAGCCCTTGTAAGGAACCAAGCCAGTCTTAGGATTCTTCTGTTGTTTCTGAAGACGGGTCTTGATAAAATCGAAAGGCAGAGACAAGAAACTAGCAAAGAATCCAGCAATACCGGAAGCAGCAAATGTCTGATTCTGAGCGGAGAGAGAAGTATGTTGCTTAAGCTGCTGCTTAGCCTCAGCGAAGAAAGTCAATTGACCCAGGTTGAGAGCCATGGCACGCACAACCGTCGGCGAAGCGCCAGCCCACAAGGCAGCGAGGCCCTCGGTGCGGGTGATACGACTGAGCGCATCAAAGACGGAACGGTAGTTTGCGCGAGCCTCGGGAGCCTTGAGGCCATCGGACTGCATACGCACGAGGGCCAAGTCGGCCGGGTTTCCAATCATGGCTGCGATTCCGCCGGCCGTCAGTCCTGCCGCGGCGCGTTCACCGAAGGTTACCTTTCGGCCTGCAGCTTCGGCGCGGACGTTGAGCTTCTTGATGAATGTTTCGAAGAAGCCCAGACGGGCGGTGGTGTAGACGGCTTGACGGAGGATACCAGCAGACAGACCGGTGTAGAGATCGAGGACTTTGCCCGAGGCGATGATATCTCTAGTGATGCCCAGGGCGGAGGGACGGGGACCGGTGCGTGCTCCTTCGCCGGCGAGCTGCAGGCGCACTTTGACCATGTCGACGGGTTGGATCACGGCTGTTGCGGTCATACCGGCTAGACCTCCGTTGAGGAAGGGGAGGGCGATGCGGGTGTATGGGTTGTGGAGAAAGTCGGTGGGGTTCTCAATAGCGGATTTGGTTGCAGTTTGAGCAGAGTGAGCAGAGTGAGCAGCATCGCTGCTGTCTTTGATAGTGGATGCCATCGTGGAGTATCAAGACACTGGATACACGTCAATACGATGTATAGAAAAGAACTAGAGATTCACGAAGAAAAGCTTTTCGGAGGGTTAGCCAGATCTCCTATGGATTTGACAGCCACGGGGGTTGTTCATGGACCATGGTACTTACCGATGACGTAGTTTCTTTCCACAAGTCAACAGATCAACGTTGAAAAATGAAGAGAAGATGAGAGGAGAAAAGTCACAAGAGCAGGTGCGGGGTGTTTTATGTTTTAACCTTGGAGGTACTCTGGTACAACGGGGCCTGAGCTTGTCTATATACTAAATTCCCTATATTCATTCCGAACCGGAGATTATTCCCTTCAACCGATCAACCGAATAGCTACCCGCAAGTTCCCCGCCTAGACGTAATATGGAGACAACCCTGGACCTCATCAGTCGCTAGGCCTTTACCCAATTAGATCGACATCATTTCATCAGACGTGCACATGTCAAAATGCGGGGAATAGTTCAACGATCCATCTTCCTTTTATATATGCTCAGAGTTAGAAGGGTATGGATATTCCATATATATATATATATCCCAGAACTGTCGTTTAATACTATTTAAGACTGTTTAACACTGCGTAATCAAAAATAATAAAAAACCCCATTTTGACTCTGTCTACATAGACGCGGCAGATATATTAGTGCCACGAGCTAAATTCGGAATACCCACATATCCACCTCTAAACCCTTTTGGGCTCCCCCACGAGAACGTATCGGGATCCCGTACTGATCCGATCCATAACCAGCTTCTTCGGGCATATGTCGGAAATCAATGATATCCGAATATCCTAAGAACAGGACACAGGCCACAAAGTGTCAGCACAACATTCGATAGAAACGCACGGATTACACAGGTCGTATATCGGTGATTTAATTGGGGGCATCTTGAGTGCCTCGAATTCAAACGGGATTACCATATGGGCGGGGTCTGATCGGCTATTCCACCTGGGGGCTTCTCGAGTGCCTAGAATCCAAACGGGTCTACCATATCGGCGGGGTCTAATCGGCTATTCCACCTGAGTAATTTTCTCCCGCTCCCTCGGGCCATCATCCGGGGATGTTAACACGGCAGTCCAATCGGCCGAGCATCATTACGCTGTCGCTGTTGCTATGTCCGAGGACCCGCCCTTGCACCAACCCCTGATCGCCGACCAATCCCATCCATTGAGATTCTGAAGGATCCCCTTTTTCTTGTGTGGGGCTGCGGCTCACGCTACAATTGTTGAGCTGACAGAGTTAGTCTGCATACATTCCTCCGGTTTGGGCTTGCTTCTGGTCTTTTTCCGCCGATGACCGGCGATAATTATGTCAGGTAAGCTTCTTGGTGTGGATTCTTGCCCCATCTCTGGTACTGTATTCTATGGAGGTGGTCGATTTCGCCGATGACGGATATAAGTCGTTGACACTACCAGTATCCTTTCAAGAGGACCGGGCATGTCGGTTGCACACAACGGAGGACTGTTCTCCGGGAAATAGCGTCATATGTTCGCTCGGAAATGTACACCCCTGATTATTTGTTCTGAATATGGCACGGGGCAGGGACGGGATCTTTTCTGATGTGCTTGATGGTTGAATTGGAAGGGTGGGAAGGTTAGCAACGGCGATGCGAGACTACGCTATGGACAGGGAATGCCTAAGAAAGATCAATCGTTGGATATTACCGTTCGATAATAGTATACGACCCGCTCGACCCATGCTTGAATCATTATATCTCTCAGTCCGAGGCCTCCGGTGAAAACTAAGTCCTGAACTTCAAAGCCCAGCGAAAACAAAATGCCTAACCAAACACATACGCATAGCCACGGACCTCCATTTCCCTAAACACATCTAGCCTACTGCATCATCCTCCGACAAAAGGAAATCACGTCTCAGAAAACGTCCACAACAAACCTCGTCACTTCTGTGTATAAACACCAACCTGCGCTATTTCAACCTAACCGATCGTGAAACTCTAAGCACCCAATATTCCCGAGGTACCCAACTTCCTCCGCGGAATCCACTCCGTGCCTAGCTCGACCCTGAATAGTTCCCACGGGCAAAGTGCCAGCCAAACTCAAAGCGCATCACTCTGCTAACCGCGGGAAGGTTCTCGGCAAGTCGGGAACTCCACCGGCCTTAAGCCTCGATTTGGACCCACGGGCCTGCCGGCATGGGAGTTCGGGAGCCTTTCTTGTATATGGCTATCGTGGACAGGGGTATCACGTTTAAGGAGCCAGGGACGGGATTTAGGAGCGGGAGTGAGGGATTTTTTTATTTACATGTTCCAGCACCTCTCTCCAACCTTTTGAGGTCTGGTTTCATGGCAGCTTTGACCGGTTACTTTTTACTTATATCTTTCAGGTGTCTCTGCTTACTTACATCGTTGGAGGGCGAATACTATACACAAGCAGGTTTAAACTAACAAAGAACTCACTATCACAGCATATATACAGATATCAACTTTGAAAGAGGCTCCATGCACCAATTGCTCCATGAACATGTATAAAGTGTTTGTTTGTTGATGTTGCTGTCGTGGCCCTTCTTGCGCGGCACTTTCTTGCTAATTCACGCTCTACACAAAAAGAGCTCTTCGTCTACTTTGCGTTAAGGAGGTGAACTTTTAGCAGATGACACAGTCTATTGTTGTTCTGAAAAGTATCATCCCCCGGGCCGCTACATAGCTAGATGTAGCATCCCTTTTTCTTTGAAGCTTCCCCCACCCATTTCCAACGTCTTCCTGGTCATATTCAATTTTGATCTCAGCCTCGCAAAAGAAGCCCAGAGGGTGCGCAAGCCAGGTCTGTCATAAATTGCCCAATGCCTTCTTGCCACGCGACAAATTCGGCTGAACTGCTTATAAAAGGTGGCAATAAATTTGCACAGCTCTCTGTGAGCAGAATCCTTACGGTAAGTACTCGACAGCGGTGTGGTACTGGTACCATAGAGAATCCGAATTTCATCTACCAGATGGACACTCGCAGCGTTGAGTGAAGTGCGGTACTCTTCGAGAAAATGCTCGAAACAATCCATCATCTGAGCAAGAGCATAGTATTGTAGGTCGACAACACAACGCAGGGCGAATGAGTAAACCTTCGCATGGGGCACTATCGCGTCCCCCGTGTCGGTTTGATGAGCCAGTAAAGGGCCAGTTTTGGAAACTAGCGAAGCAACCAGCAGGCTGTGAGACGAGTTGTTAAAATTTTGGTTCACTCATTGTCTTTAGCAGATAATCTTTTCTGGTCCTTGTGGCACTGGGCCCTCTTCGCATGAAAGGACTTTCCATGGGACATTGTAATTTTGAGCACATCAGAACTTCAGGACACAGTCGATCATCTCTTCATCGAAATCGGTCCAGTCCAATGTCTCTTGTCCGGTAGGTTTTCATGGCCCGGTCAAGGCAGATTTGCCTTGGATCAGAGCACCAGGATGGATATGGAAAATGGTCTTGTTCTGTCCCACAAGAATCGTTATCGTGTTCCTGTCACTGCTTTTTCGGTCATCAGCGCTTGGATGAGGTAAAGGAAGAAATGACTTTGTTACCTTTGGAATGGGTTCTCTTCGACGGAGGTCATAATGAATGTTGCAGTGTGTCAAGAAGATGCCACAAAGTAAGATCTTGGTGTTAATATGAATGAATTGCAGGAGGAGAGATGAGATAATCGGTAAGTCTGCACCTGGTGATCTGTCCTGACTACGGTCTTCCTATCCGGTGACGAGAAAGCGCCGTCGCAATTCTCTTATAGAAAACTCAATGGCAGGGTGTATTTTCTTGGTAGAATAACGCTATGAGGAGATGGGGTTGGATAAGAAGAGACAGTTGAATGAGAAGAGAGCTTCAAATAAGAAGAGAGATTCAAGGACTCGTAGCAAACTCGGACTACGGGGGTATATTTTCTTAGATATAAGAAGATCATGATACACCTTAGAACTGCATCATCCTTCCCGAGGACAGCATCAGATTCTCACTGATCTGTCTCATGAATCAGAGTTATGTAAAGGAATATGTGCTCAGAACAGACAGCAAGATCATCAGCTTTTGTCATGAGAAAGATAACATAATCCATAAATTTACTTGTACTGCTCTTTTTGCATCCGACTACTCGTAGGGCTAGAAAAAATGGTTCTTAATATGCTAAACGCTTTGTTGGAGACATTCGCTGCCTGAATGTCAACCTGGGTGGCTATGGGACTGCGTACCGGGTGTCTTGATTGTCAAATAAACTTGTACTTAGATCTGCGTCGACGTCCAATCTTTCAATTTCTTCCCGGGCCTCCATGCTCAGTTCTTCAATGTCCATGAACTGAAGAGCAATTGACTTGAGGCGGGATCATGAGAGCCGTTCAAACTCATTTCCGGGATGGGAGAGTAGCCCAACACTATGTCCAATCTTATGTCGGTGGAGACTGTCCAACTCGACAAGAGCTCGTTTTGCAATGATCTTAAGTTTTCCAGGCACTCTACTATCCGGAGTGTGGACATTGACCATGTCATCAACACTGGATCCTAACATCTCCAGAACGAAGCATTTATGCATCCCATTTGGGCCTTCCAGGTCAAATTTATCAAGCAGTTGTATAACATGTCGAGGGAGAGGATCGATTGATGCCAATTGTCTCATGGTTTCAAACTCTTGCGCTGGCTTACCAGTTTCCGTCTTCGAGGTGGACATCTTGATAGCAACAAAGGCTTCATCCCTGTTGAGAATGTCAGTTCTATCCAACTGGCGCGGTTACTGTGCTGACTTTCGATCTTGCGCAGCCCAAACTGTCGAATCATCCTAGTTTATGCAGTATATTGTATCCCCCATCCTTCAAGGAATCCCTTAGAATGGTGGGATGGTAGCCGTCTTTTTATAGCGATGAAGAGATTCGGCGTAAACGCCACTTTTGTACAGGCAGTGTTACACCTGGGACTGGGTTGACGTGGTATGAAACTGCCTACAGGCAGTTGGAACCCGTTGAAGTCTTCGTCTGACAAAATAGCGTGAAGTCATGAAAGGAATGGCTGATCTAAACAGTCTGAGGACTACCAGCAAGGGATCATGAAACAACCCATTCACATGGTCTACAATAAGCAATTATTAGATTACCAGAAAGTTGAGTAAATTTCCAATTTTTTTATTCACTATGTAAAAAATTGTTTCGTTAAGATCGCTAACTCCGTTCAGCCAGTCCAAATATATGGCGAAAGATAAAAAAAAAAAGCAGAACCCAATCGGGGGGAAATCAAAGCATATCCATCGCTCGTCCCGATACAAGCGACAGACGGCGGCGAGAGGATCGAAGGATCATCACCAAAAGGAAAAAAAAAAAAAGGAAAAAAGGAAAAAAAGCACGCCATGCAAACGACTTATTCATCCTGTTTAGGAGAACAAGAAACAAGGAGAAAAAGCAAATTTTAACCGTCGCTCCAACTCTCTAAACCTGGGGAGCAGCGGCAAGGACATCGGGAGTAGCCTCGTCGGAGTACTTCTTGAAGTTCTCGTTGAAGAGGACAGCGAGCTTGGTGACCTCATCCTTGAAGGAAGTGGAGGCGGTCCAGCTCTTCTCGGGGTTGAGGAGCTCGCTGGGAACACCGGTGCAAGAGGTGGGCACGGGCAGGTTGAAGGTAGCGTAGGTCTCGTACTCGGCCTTGGCGAGCTCGCCGTTGTGGATGGAGTCCAGGATGGCACGGGTGTACTTGAGAGGGCAACGCTTGCCGCCGGTGGTGGCACCGGCGCCAACCCAACCGGTGTTGAGGAGCCAGGCGTTGACCTTGTGCTCCTTGATCTTCTCGGCCAGCATGTGGGCGTAGCGCATGGGGTGGAGAGCCAAGAAGGGCTGAGCGAAGCAAGACGAGAAGGTAGCCTGGGGCTCAGTAACACCGTCCTCAGTACCGGCCATCTTGGAGGTGTAACCGGAGATGAAGTGGAACATGGTCTGCTCAGGGGTGAGCTTGGAGATAGGGGGCAGGACACCGCGGGCGTCACAGGTGAGCAGGATGATGTTGGTGGGGTGGTTGTCGCTGACGCAGGGAATCTTGGCGTTCTCGATGTACTCAATGGGGTAGGCGCAACGGGTGTTCTCGGTAAGGGTGGCATCGTCGTAGTCAACAACACGGGAGATGGGATCGAAAACGGTGTTCTCGAGGACGGAGCCGAAGCGGATGGCGTTGAAAATATCGGGCTCCTTCTCGGCAGAGAGACCAATGCACTTGGCGTAGCATCCACCCTCAATGTTGAAGACACCGGTGTCAGTCCAGCAGTGCTCGTCGTCACCAATCAGCTTGCGCTTGGGGTCGGCGGACAAGGTGGTCTTGCCAGTACCGGACAGACCGAAGAAGACAGTGACATCACCGTTCTCACCCTGGTTGGCAGAGGAGTGAAGAGTGAGGACGTTGTGCTTGACAGGCATCTCGTAGTAAAGGACGGTGAAGACACCCTTCTTCATCTCACCAGCGTACTCGGTACCGAGGATAACCATCTCCTTGTCGGCGAAGTTGATGGCCACAGAGGTGGCGGAGGTCATACCCTCAGTGAAGCGGTTGGCGGGGAAAGAGCCAGCGTTGTAGATGACATAGTCGGGGTGGAAGTGCTCAAGCTCCTCGCGCTTAGGGCGGATCAGCATGTTGCGCATGAAAAGAGCGTGGTAGGCGCGAGCGCAGACAACGCGAACGCTGATGCGGTAGCGCTCATCCCATCCGGCGTAACCATCGACGACATAGATGCGGTTACGGGTGTTCAGGTAGTCGACAGCACGCTCACGGTTGATACGCCAGACCTATGGAGGATGTATTAGTGACCAGCCTTATTGACGTCATACACGTGATAGCCTCGGACGAAGGGCGGGGATGCGGAGCAACAACTGAAAGCCGAGGGGCAAATTGGGGAATGCGAAAAAGGAAAAATAAAAAAATGGAAACGAAATATTCTCTCAGGTGAATGAGGTATTTCGGCAGAGACGGCATCCCAAATATTACACAAAGTCCTGCCACAAAGCTTGACCTCTTCCCGATGCATATGCAAGGGATACAAGTGGATCACATCGCGCCCATCTGCAAGGGTGTGCTCCAACATCGAACAATGAAGTATCAAGTAAAATCGCGCAAGAATGAAAAGCAAATTAACTCACATCAAGTGTCATGGGCTTGTTTACGGGTCCCCACCAGATATCGCCTTCTGAGGAAGCCTCCTGGACGATACGCTTATCGGAGGGGGAACGGCCAGTCTTAGCACCGGAGTATGCGCTCAAAGCACCGCTAGATGTGACAGCAGTACCAGTCTCGTAGACGAGGGCATCTTCGTAAAGGGCAGGAACAGAGGGGTTGGCAATCTAAACCATGTTAGTTCATGAAGCAAGATAGGAAAACGGCATCGACATTGTGATCAAATGTCACGGGCAAGGGCGAGGTCTTACAATGGAAACTCGGTCGTAGTCAATGTGAGCAGTCTCGTGAAGTTCCTCCTCAAGCTCGGTGTGACCCTTGCCAGGCCTACGTAAAGACAGTTAGCGACGATGAGGTAAGGACAGTGAGGTAGGAAGGCAACATACTGAACACCGCCAGGGTGCAGCGCAGTGCGATTTACTGATGTAGCAACCATTGTTCTGAGTGAAGTAGAGTGATAGTTATTGTTGCGTTGTTTCGCGATCTGCTGTTGAGTGAAATCTGATGCCAGAGGACCAGGAGAACTGGAGCGGTCGAGGGGTATATAATCCTTTCCGGCAGAGGCCATGGTCGCGATCGGTCTTGGTATGAAGGAGGTTCTCGTGCACTTTCCGTGGTGTTTCTCCACAGTTCCACGGGTGATGTCGGGGCTGAAACGCCGAGCTGAAGCGGACACGCGGTTGGCGATGGGATGAAGTCCGTAGGTTGCAAATGCCTTGAGGCGCAGTCCGACTTGACCCGAATGGTTCAAGTGGACACGAAGTTGATTCGGAACTAGGGGATTCTATGACCGGGAAGGCGAATAGCGAAAAACAAATAGGCGTTCTAGAATCAAAAAATAACTCATTCAAATTCTGAGTGGTTTACAGAGAGAAGTTGATGTGTTCAGTGCATGAGTTCTTTTATGCTTGCTTCTGACGGTTGCGGCAAACGCCCTAACCCAGGTTCGATATTTACAATTCGTCAATCATTTCAAAAACTAGTCTTAAATCTTGTAACAATGAGTCTATTCTCTCATCATTTGGGGTATTCTTCAGCCACGGACGACAGGAATGACGCACAATGACTTCACCAAATTATAGTACTAAACATTCATAGTTCCCAGAATCTGCGGGGAGCTGACATAATCTCTGTCGATCAACTCTCGATCTCTCCAAGGCTGTTTTCGGCTTGAATAAACCCGAATATCGGAATGTGCTGCCCGAAGAAAATGAAAAAAATGAGAATCTCTCTCAGATTCCCCGGATGACGACAAGTTCGGCTGCAAGTCGGAATTGTCTTAGAGCAAAATTCAGCAGCAAATAACGGCGTTTAACCAGCCGAGGATGATGGCACCTACATCCATCCGTGGCGGCGGTGGGGACCAATCAGAATCTAGACATTTCCACCTCCTAGGATGGTCGGGTGGGCAGAAGATATTGCCGCTGGGTCCTAGGCCCTATTTTCACTGGCTTTCACTGGCCGGACGATAATCATTTGTGGTTGTGCAATAAGATCAACGCCAACCTCCGAGTACCTGGGTCTCCATACTCCAATCCCAAGCCCTAGGCAAGAAAACCTCATGCATATTACGTCCCAACCGCCGAAAGCCAGGGTCTGGAACCCGGAGTTCTAAAGCATGACTCAAAAAAAAAAATTCGCAAGCGGTCTGCCGTGATTCTAAGGGTTTTCATCGGCTGCCATCGCCGTCGGGCTGTGCACTATAGATGTGGCTTGTGCAATCAACCCCAGATCCTTCTCCCCGTAGTTAGCGGCGGATCCCGAACCGGCTACGGCCTCGGAAACGTGAGCTTTTTTCTTTTTTTCCTTGCATTCTTCGTGAAACAATTAGTTATTTTTGCGCGATTTGTTTCACCTTACGTAGTGACTTTTCTTTTTAATCCCTGCTGATCATTCTCGTTTTTTCTGCCTTGCGTGTGACACGGATACCTGATGGCGAGAACTATGAACTATTTTGAGGCTTTTTTCACAACCTGAAGGGGTAAGGGCTAGTGGAGAAAGGAGTTTTTTCCCCTGGTCTCCTCCGCAAAACCAGAATGTAGTCATACTAGAAGCCAAGCATGTGATCTTCAATTAAATGAGTATATTCACGCATTCCGGGTATATTTGCCCTTTTTCACACCCGTCGCATTTTCTTCTTGAGGTCCGTTATCCGGATCAATGTTCACCAGCGTAACTAGTAAATTCTCGGTGCTTGATATCAACCACAGCCAATCATTTCTGAAACTTAGCTTCCTAATTTACCCGTTGTGATATGGTTCTTGTCCTTCATTCGAGTCTACCTATCTAAAATATCTGCCCAACCAGGGCCGGTAGTTTCAAACCGGCCTGGGCCGGTTCGAAGGGAAACTAAGATCGACTCATCTCCTATTTTCCCCGAACTGCTCGGCTGCACGTCATTGTTTATATTGTTACTACATCGAAGTACAGGAATCAGAATTCAACCTTGGATACAATATACAAAGACTACGCAATTACACTTCTAGTTCCTGATCCCATGACTGGCATTACGCAGTATTTCTCCGATCTTTACACATTTCGGTCGAGGCGCACCTCTTGGCATCTTGGCTTTTATCTGGGGAAATTGTCGCGTGGTCTCTTCGAGCTGCGGATGCGGGGTATAGCGCGGGCTGAACTGTCAAAATGAGCTACCAGTAAAAAGGCACAGAGAATTGCATCGTGACTCGGCGATTTTCATCAAATGATGTATTCAGTTTGGATTATCATTTGGCCTGTCATGATTGTTGATGCCACGTCCCAGTGCACAAAGCACAGTCGTCCGAGGATCATGCGTATTTTCTAAGTTTGCCACTAGCATTGGCAGCTGAAACTGTCGGCGATAGTGAATTAGGAAGATAAAGAAATGTGACATCAAATGCTATAACGGGGCAGGATCTTCCTATGATCCAAATGAAAGAACAGGTTGTGCGTTCATGAAAATGGAACCTGGCTGGACCACTCGCTACGATATATGCTCATGCGCTGATCCTAAAGGGTTGTTCATTGTATATAATACTTTGGGGTTTGAAAACGTTCTACTTCTCGCTAATTGATGTAAAATTGCCATGGACGCCTGAGTCATTTCTCATCCACCATGGCTCGAGCGCTTTTCCTCCTGCTCGCATCGCCTTGAAAAAAGAAATGAGATACTTCCATGATCTATGTATATTCCTCTCGTGTGTGGTATCAAGAAGCTGGTCGTCATAGCCCCTGAATACGAACGATAGCCATTTTCACATACCATAAGTACAACTGCTTCGATTGCTCTAATCCCTTCCCGCGAAAGCCGCCATAGTTCTCTCGGTATTTATGTTGTTTGCGGGCTTGCATTTCGCATTATGTGTTACTACAACCATCGGGCGTGCTGTATGGGCAAGGCCCCCACACATATGCAGATATATATATATATATATGTATACGAGATCAGGTCGAATCATGGGCTGTGATGGTTTACTGTATTATTCTGCGTCCTAGATACAAAAGCCGTTAATAATTTCCTGTATCCCGAGGTTTTTCCAGCAAAGTTTGCTTTATCAAGTATCATTTCTACGGCTCTATCAGAACGGCTGTGGTCGCCGAGGACAACCTCGGTGTATTGAGTCTCCAGTTTTGCGGACCGGTCCGCTCCCATTCATCGCCTAATTGGTAGCCACGTTCTTTACTTTGAACTAGGCTCATACATGTCGCCCACCACTGTCCGTAATAATTATTATGCAATCCTTGGAATCCCCCAGTCCGCGGATTCGGCTACTATAAGATCGAGATACAAACGTCTGGTTTTGGATACGCACCCAGATCGAAACAAGGAACCCAATGCAACAGCTGAATTCCAACTAGTAAGCCTGACAGCTACCTGCTACCATTCCTTTTCGTTTCGAAGAGTGCATTATCACTGATGCAGTTATCACTAGCTTCAAACAGCATACGAGGAGCTTTATGATGTCGATAAACGCCGAGAATACGATAGGATATATCGATCAACAATAGGTCCTGAAGAAGCCAAGAACCAAAAGATAGCAGAACTAGAAAAGCGGCTTGTGCAGCTCAAGGTTGAACTCATTGGGCTGGAAACCCTTTTGCGCAATCTAACCAAGGAATTGGTTAGACTATTAGCGGAAGGAGACAGCATCAAAGGGGAGAAAGAACGCCTTGTGAGGGAAAGAAATTCAGAAGAGAGATGGTGGCTCTACATCTGCTCCTTCATGCCAGGCAGAGCGGCGGAATTCACACGCCAGAAGCAACTACGAGAGCGTGTAATGACTACCATGGCTGGAAAACAACGTACGAAGGAATGGAACATCAATCTCAAGTTGGCAGAGATCAAGTCTCTCAAAGAAAGTATTCAGTCTATCCACTCGGTCGAGTGTAGAACCAAAGTGGAGATACGGAGGATAGAAGAGTGCTGGCGCCAGTTGGTAATACTACAGGAAATGGAAAGAGTTTTAGCAGAACGGAGAAATCAAAGAGAGCAAGCGGATCGTGCTCGTGCGGCAACCCAGGCAAACTATTTCACGAAGAGGAACAGCTACAATATGTGGGGATTTTGATATTTCCTTGAAACAGTGCATTTGAATCACAACAAATGTGTACCAAAATGTCACGATCTGCGTTGTCACTCTTCTTGCATATGCTATATGCCACATCAAGATCGTTTGCTCTCTGCGTTTGCATGCTTGTTTCTTCTTTGTTTCTTTGCTTCTTGTTTGCTTCGCTTAGCGAGGAGGGTGTATGCTCTACTAACCTTCAAATTCAGGGAATAGGAGCTCGGAGACCGGCTTGCCGATCCCGGAGTCTAGGGCACAGATCACGAGTGGGAGAGAGGAGGACATAGTAGAGTATAGAGGGGATATAGAGGATGAGCGAGAATGAATGTATTTCTTTTCTGGTGTGATGGACCATGGAATTGAGAGGGACATAAACCGAGCACGCGCTTCACGCTCAGTAGATCCAGCGCAGGCGGTAAGGTAATCTCGTTCTAGCAGTGCCGTTCAGGTTACACGAGGAACTATCGAAAAAGCGCTGGGCGTCGAGACGTGGGGAGATAATCAATCAATCAATCAAAGTTCAATTAAACTGTTGCAGTCTAACTAGTTGCGTATGACTATGCAGGCGCTTCATCCAACTGAAGCAAGAACTCGAAGCCAAACGCCGAGCGGGATCTCTCCCAGAGTATACAGATGCCGATCGCAAAGAAGTGCGGAATCAGCCCATTCCTGTAGCTCGTAAACCCATAAACCCATACATAAGTCGTGGGGAGATAACGTTGACTGGATTGGTGGTATTTTACCCCAGTATAGACTGGACACGAACGCGGATTGAGCGTGATGCTACGAATTCTCTCGCTGCGCAGAAATCAACGAACTCCCCTTCTATGTATAAGTTCTTTGACGATTCCTATCTTCTTGTTGCGGGACTGCTGAAACGGCCTAGTACGGGTCGAGTAGATGTGTCGCGTCCTTATCTTTCCCCTAGACTTGCACCTGCGTCTCTATTACATGCGGCGTATCCACCTGCTGTGGCGATTTATACTTGTGGGTGGGATCAGTTGTTTATCTAGGGGAATGCGTTTCGGGAAAGGCTTGGTGGGTTTGTTGAGGAAGGGAAGATGGTGAGTGTAGGCGGGTCTGTAGTTGAGGATGTTATTCATGTATTTGATAAGAAGCCGCTTTTTGGAGGGAAAATAAACTGCGTGAGAGGATGTATGGAGATGCTATTAACCAGTTGAAGGTAGTTTGGAAGATGGGTTGAGATAATATCGGAGTCTGAAGGCACCTGGAATAGATGATTAGTATGTTGCTTGTGCACGTCAGAATTTACGCTGCCCATGGACACCCTCCTTCTTTCTACTAACCCTCAACCCATTTACTTCAAAAAAATTTCTGGCGCGCAGTCTCACAATTTGGTCTATGATTGAGACAAAAACACCAACAACAGTTCTTTTTTCTAGACAATGCGTTTTCTTTTATCCCTTTTGAACCTGAGGTTCCTTTAGAGTTGATTTGTTTTCTCCAATACTTGACGAGAAGTTCCTCCCGATCAGAAAGACCTCCAGAATCCATTTGGCATAATCGATTTAGTAAGACTAACAGCAAAACAAGAAAGGAACACGAGAAAAGCACAAAAAAACAAGGGACACTACTATTATTCTAAATTACCCAATTATCTCTGAGCCACGGTGTCTGGCTGACAAGCTCTTACGGAGGAAAGCAGCCGAAAGGCTCGGCTGCCGATAATCTTCACAAGTACGCTGTTGATAAACCGCTTCCAAGGTGTCCTTGACCTGGATGGCAGAAATAGACTGCCCATGGCGAGGGTAGAATGGATGGTTGTGTTCTCATGCACGGCCGGCACTTTTGAGGAGATGCACATCGAAGGCAGCGTATCAAATTGAGGGACCTGGACTCCCTGGACGAGAGGCTGGTAAGATGATGTGGATGCCATAGCAACGGGGGATGACCTCTTTGAATTGAAAGTGGGACAGGATCGGATGGGGTGCGAGCTCTTTGAAGCCAATGGCAGAGGAGAGAGATGAAAGGAAAAGGAGAATCGATGGGAAAACGAGATGAAGTATAGTATGATTGTTAAGGCTCTCTCCCAAAGGTTCCGTTTACTCAAGCTAGTCCTAGTCCTAACATGGAAAAATCATTCACAAACTAAGCCTCTAGAAAATATCTCCATAAAAGACATCTAAACGGAATATCTGAGAAGACCACTGAAAAGACCTAAGGCCGCAGAAGCGGCCAACTATTCTTGACGCTTTAAAGCGGTAGTGGTAATATACAGCTGTGTTGCTCACTACCTTTCCTTCTATTTCATGTTCTGTAGTATCCGTAAGCCTCATTATTTCAGTATAAATCGTAGGGAAACGCCCCGCATACTCGGGTTCTGATAAACTATAAATGAATCCGAGATTGACTCGGAGAACGACCTTGTGATCTGAAATGGAATTCAGAAACATCTATGGATGACAGTTTTATAGAATACAGGCTGTAAGGGAGAAATAATAGAGTCTGACAGATATTGCTAACCAATGGATACATATGAACTAATCCCTTCACGGTGCTTGATACTGAAAGGATCCGCACGATCATATAATTGTTCTAGGAGAATGAAAGAATACCCTGGCCCTTTGAGGAACAGAATATGAAGCCCAATAGAAACAATATGGGTATGTATAGGGAAGACAAAATGTCATTGAATCAGTACAGGAAGAGACAAGAGGAAGATATCCAGGAAGATGAGATCCTATCCGCCTTGGAAAGGCTGCCTTGCCAGCACGGCTGGCAGGATCCCCTGTCAGCAGTAGGCAGACCATAAGTACTAGCGAAGTCTTGCACATAAATTCATACATGGGTGAGATGGGAAATATACTTGCTTTCCATGACTCTAGATCGCATCGCTAGATTTTTAGTTATGGAACAAGCCCGCCTACTCGCAGTCAAGCCATTCTTCAAGATCTCCATTAGTGACTACCTTTTATTATTATACTATGTACTTTGTATGTGACACTTCAGGGCTATCAAATCATGTGCTACTAGAGAAAAGGACCATGAGCGGGGCACCAGTCAGGCGGGGTAGAAAAGTCAGCAATTTTCCCAACGAGGTCTGGTCTACTTCACTTCTCACACATTTGCGAATATTACTCAAATTTCTTAAGAGGTATGGGCTGTGTCTTGTCTGTATCTCTCCTAGGGACCTTGGTGGTTACTAACACTCTGTCAGACCTTCATCTACCATCAACAATGAACGGACACGCTTCCTGCCCCAAGTGCGGTGTCGCCACTGACGGCTCTGGCAAGAGCTGTGGCGCCTGCGGTGCTGTATGTTGATTCTACAGTACTTATGTGCGCGCTTGTACTAACCATATTAGACCTGCCCCGTCTAAGTCATACCCTATTGAATAGGCCAGTATGTACTTGAGTGTTTCGGATGGAGGGTATCGGAATTAAGACTGCTTGCGGTGGTGGTATCATGAGGGAGCCAGAGCAGCAATTGGATATCAATGTGTTCATAGGAATGATATGATGACAACGAGAATGAACTCAAATCTATCCGAAACCAAGTGCGATTGTTATGTACGAAAACAAGAGAAACGACGTGAAGACATTTCCCTGGAAAAGAAAAATATAAGAATGGTCATAGGCGAGAAACAACCATCAGGATATAGAGTGTGCAATAAGAATACCTCCTCGTCTCGTTCTCCCCATTTGGGCCCGAGACACCAAGATCACCCAAGTAGAGGGCCACCGACCTCCCCCTTCATCGCGGACTATACACCGCTTAGACAGGTCCGGCGGTCTTGCGCCACTGGGACCAAACACCGATCAAACTGCTGACGGTACCTGCGATACCGACGAGGCCATCGTCGAGGTTAACGATACCAACAGCAGACAAGGGCGCGGCCAGATCGCAAACATCGGAGATGAGCTGTATCCGAGCAGCAGAGCGCTCCCTAATAAAAGCATTAGCATTCCATATATTCATTATTATGGTAAGCGAGGGCCCATACTTCTCAATCTTCTTAGCCTCAACAACACCCTCACCCTCCTTGCGGTCAATAGTCTTCTCCTTCTCCTGAAGACGGACAAGAGTGTAAACACCAGCCACGGCGCTGAAAATCAAACCAGCGCCCCAGGAGCGGTAAGCGGAATCCTGCAGCCGCTTAGCGGAAGCCAGCTTGCGAATGCCGATCGCATCAATGACTGTGACGGCGTCAAGAGTCAGGTAGCCGGCATAACCGAGCTGACGACCGATGGTCAAGTAGCGCAGAACCGGATCGACGGGGCTCTTGTTATCAAAGGCAATAGCGGCGGCCTTGAGATGCTCGAGGAATTTGCCGATACGCATAATCTTGCGAGTCGTGCCGAACTGCTTCTTCACGGCATTGTAGGGATCGATCGCGGACTGGGGCTTGTTCGTCCGGTATAGGTACCACGCGTAGAAGCGGGAGAAGTATTGGATTGTGCGGAGGAGCTTGTCGCGGCCGACTATAGATTGCGTATACGGTTAGCTTGAATGCTCGGGAAAGGGCGGGGAGAGCTGAGCTGGGCTTCTCGGCCGAGTGCTCGCCACATAGGGGGTTTGCGTTTGCTGCAGTCGTGATGGAAAACGGGGTTTTCTTTGTTCGTGTAGGCTTAGAGGTGCTGGGATGTTCCTTTTTGGACTCCGGAAATGTATCACGTACCGGTTGTCGCGACGAAGCGTAGCCAGTGCGCCAGCGCAGGGTGGTAAATAAGAGTGTTAGCGACCATTTTTGCGGTGAAATGGATAAAAAACTTCAAACACCTGAGGATTGGAGTGTGTCAAGAATTAAATGTGATAGTTCATAAGAAAAAGGGAGTCGGTAATTGACCGGCGTATGGAGCCGGAAGACCGACCTCGGCTGATCTCGTGCGTGTGGGGGGAGATCCGGAGGTATGATGTAAGGGTATTTACCAATATTACAGCATTCACGGCCTTTAAACTCTTGGTCCGTTGAAATACCTTGAAATGCTTTGAAATGCTTGATTTCCTCCGCTTTGATCGTTCTAATCCACATGTGCCCAACTCGGCTTGTCACTTCCTTTTCACGTGAGTCTATCTTCTAAGATATGTACGGAGTATAATCTCATATTTTATCCCTTTTATGCTTGGTATTGTTGAAGATTACTTCGCACTTTATATCCAAATTCAGTCTAGTTCCAACTTCATCTGGGCACTAACACTATCACAATATCACAACAGAGAGCATCGACATTGAATCAAGCACTATTGTTAGCCCTATACATGGGGTTTATCAGACCATGTCCTAAGTCAGACAATTGGACTCCTTTTCCCATGCTCTCCCGGATACCGTATTTCATAATCCTCCTAGCAGACCTCCTTGATACCCATGATACGTATAGTGCAGACTAGTCCCAGACCAGACAGCAATCACCCTGTCAGTGTCATTTCTGTGAGGTCTGGAGAAGTGTTAAGGAGTGGAGCCTCAGCAGCAGTTGAACCTATCCCTCCAATAACATCGTTGCTTGGCGATGGTTGCTGTTAGCATTGTGCTGTCTTTAAATGGAGAAGGTAAGGGACTATTAGTTGCTCTTTGCTAGATCCCTGGCCCGAGAAGCGACAGACATCGCAAGATTGGATGTGTAATAGTTGGAAGTAGATCGTGCAGCAGCTCTGGAGTTATTCAGTAGCAGCCGGCGAAAATATAGAATGGCGGAATCCACAAAATAGAACTTTCGTGTAGTTTTATTTCGCATTTGATATCACACTATTTTTTCTGCCTCAGTCTACTTGGATCTAGATCGAAGATACAATAAGTGAAATGAATCTTCAGATGCTTTTTCTCCGTAACCAATCCTTGGTACGCTTGTTTGAACCTTTCCAAGGTGGCCCAGAAAATTTCTATAAACACATGAACAGTAATATCATTTTATAAGAACAAAGATCGGACAGGGAAGGTATTATATTTATCTGATTATGTGGACAACGTCAGTTCCCACTTGAATTAAATTGTTTATCATACAAGTCAGGAGTTCATCTTCTGTCCGCGAAATGCACCACCTAACCTAATCACCAGCAGATTAGACAGGATAAGGCCGGGATCCTCTGATACAGTGATGGGTCATGTCGCAGGGGCAGGGATTAGGATATCTCAAGTCGCAAGGGTCGGGCAGTCGCTCTCGCATCGATGGTATCTCCTCGTTGATATTACTGATTGTGTATTGTCGCGTGTGGGTAGATTCC